GCACCAACAAAATGATTCTCAAAGAGCTTTTAGCTGAAAGCTTGGCATTTCTCACCATGATTTGCCTTTAAACAGAAGAAATGTTAAACAGAACAGAACTGTTTAAATAAATCTAACAGCAGATGAGCAGTATCTGAAAGAGATGCCCTTAAGCGACTGGGGGGGGGCTGCAAAGATCTGACACAGGAACTGAGAGAGGAAATTGAACCTCCAACTGATCCCTATATCACTGGCTATAGTCTCATCAGAAATGGTCTCCATGGAAGGGTAGCTGACAGGAAGTTATCTTTAAAGAAGGGAAACTGGGAGAAAAGGCAGTGGTGTAACAACAAAGAGCCAACGTCCAAAGAAGAGCTTTAGCAGGCCCTTTCTGAAGACGTGACAACTAATTCTGAAGACTGCTTGAAGAAATAACTGGAAAGAACAAAGGACAATGCTAAATTAAATGAAACATGAGGCGGCCCACAGCTACAGAAATCATTCCAGCCATCTACTAAATCAGAAAGGAATCAAAACGACAGCAAAGGTGGAATTTGAGACACATGACAAGTAAAGCCAACCTGAAAATGTAATGCTGTATGAGACTGATGTATGCTGTATGAGAGTCTTTTTCTGGTAGCGCGTAAAGAGATATAAACACAAACAAGGATCAAACAAACAAATGTGGCTATCCCATATCAATGCAAATGCTTTTAAAACAGCTCGTGCTAACCGATGAGCCCAACCGACAGCGGTGTGCAAAAACACTGTCGCCATGGAGAGAAGTTCATTCTTTCCAGTCTTTTACACCCAGCTCATCACACTGAGTTCATCTGCTGCTTGTTGGAATCACTGTAACCAATGTGCAGCCAGGCAGGCCCCGTGTATGTTCCCGCATACTAACGGCGTGTAAGCGGGCGTGCTGTAATCATGGACACGAGCACAACCCTGCATCCGGCTCGGCTTTTTGTCATCCTGTCTCACTGGAATCGACGGGGGCTGCTGCCTCCATCTGGTGTAACATAAATGAAGTATTGATTGGGCCGGCTCTTATCACCTGCGACTGATGGGGGAGCTCAGAGTCCAGAGCTGTGACTCAGTCGTACTGTAAAAGCATCGGCCTGATGCCGAGCTTTAAAGTGCACAGAAAGAAGAGGGGGGGGAAATAAATCATTATCCCTGATATATACATAATACTGCCCAAATGTGATGAATGGCTTTTCTCCTCTGGTTCCGCATGTCAGAAGAATTGCCAGAACAGTCTGTCAGGATTTCTGAATACAGTACTAGAACTAATGTAATTTATTAAAGTCTATTACATTTGACATTATTTCATCATGATATACACAGTTAGTAGATTTGTCTCATCTTTGTCTGGAATGATGGAATACCTGTCATGACCTGTTCACAGCCACGGGCTTAAAACAGCAAATGTGCATCCGTAGAGCAAAACAATGCCCATTTTAAAATAATTTAAAGGGGGGGGAGTTTACCAACCCGTGCTGCTAATTTTCCAGCTTCGAAGTGAAACTGCCTGACCATGCTCAGAAAACAAGAGCAATTTATCATCCAGGATGGCTTTGATAAAAGCACAAGAGGAGAATCTGCATTATTTTTTCACTGTACTCGCTGTAAAGAATCTGAATTGTGACGCTTATTTTTTACGAAGGGCGAGCAACAAGAGCCTCTTCGTGAAAACTATACAGCCTTTTTCCCAAATGTATCCCCCCCGTGGGAATTTCAGACATTTCTAAATCACTGGAGTGAGCCATAATTAACACAATACAAAGGCTGTATTTTCCCAGCCATGACAGCTGAACAAATTCCAATTCGCTGCTCCCTGAAAACTTACACTAAATTATTCAAATCATGTCTTAGGGAAGGTGCACATTATATATAACATCACCACATGAGGAAATGGTTTTTAAAAAATGGTTCTAAAAAAAACAAGGTTCAAGAGGAGCACCCGCACCCTTTTAAAGATTTATGCGATGTAAATGATGACCATGTAAATTTTTCAGATGCCTTTGCTCGGTGCAGCCCGCAATACCATTCTGCATTAAGAATTCTGAGCACAGATGAAAGGGAAAAAAGGAGGCATGAAGCCAACCCAAACCTCGAATGACCTCAAGTCGGTTGAGTGGTAGAAGTCAGTTTACCACGAGCATCAGTTTAAAGGAAACATAACTGATTCCTATTCATAGCATAGAACACGTGTCTGATGTCTTTCTCCCTCCTCTTAAGTCCCCGGTGAACGACGGAGGAAGAAATTATCCCAAAGAAGGAGGTGAGGAACAAGCCTTGCTAACAATGACGAGGGCCTTGAGGGCCGGGGAGGAAGTCGGGCTCTCTCGGTCTTTCAGCCATGAAAAAGGTAGCCGTTTGTCACCTGAAGCCACACTTTGCACGTCCAGATCAATAAATGATTCCGTTCTTGCTTCTTTCAAATTAAGGAGATCAGTCACTTCCCTGCACCGTCTGTAACAGATTTCCTCCTCAGCGCCTTTTGTCTCTTTCCTCTCATTTAACGCCTGACGCGGCTGTGGCACAAAGCTAAGTTCACACGGAGGTTCAACGTTTTGGAAAAAGAAATCTATTTGTTTTATCGCCGGTCGATGGCACTTTCCTCTCTGGACACTAAATACAAACCCGCCGCTAATAAAGGGGTCATTTAGCCAAAGCAGGGGCGATGTATGAGCCTCTACCGTGGCCCCAAGTGCAAAACCTCAGTCTGTGATATCCTATTTTTTCCTCAATCGATACACGCAGAGGTGCAGACTGCCTTCCTTTATATGAAGTTGTATGCAGGAAATATTCTTCAGTGAGGCTTCTGACTTTGGTGGCTCCGGGCTGGTTGCCTGGCAACTTCGCACTGACAATGTTACCAGAAAGGATCAAATCCTCATCTAGCAGCAAAACACCGATTCCATTCGGTCGCATTGCTACGAAACCAGTTCATGAGCTCCTGTTCATGTACCAGAACAGTGTTAAAACACATCCTAAACTACCATACAGAGCTAAGAAATGTGTCCCTCCGCTTAATAATATATGTTTTGACTTAATAAATCTGTGCATTATGAACAACCAAACGGCTGTGTTGACAGTGGAAACAGCAGGTGGCCGGCAGCGCTGACGGTCCTCGTCCCATAACACCAGCACTAACACAACGCAAAAGAGGGGATGAGGACACCATTAATTAGTCCATCCGTCATCTTGCCTTTCTCCTCTCTGCCGCTTTGCGAATGTTCTGTGAGGTGACAGATTTCCCTGAATGCACCAGCAGCTCCTAGAAATTCTGGAGATGAGAAGGCAGGCTCACGCACACGTGTACATCCACAACAGAGGACTACATCTTTTGCAAGACAAAAAAAAGAAAAAAGAAAATGCAGCCACACATGTTGGAAAAGGGGAAGTTTACTACGAGTAATAAAAAAAAAATCATGAAACTGGGAAAAGCAAAATAAGGGAGCGCATCTGAGACAAAGAGTCCTTCGAAAGAGGAAAAGTTGACAAGTCAGATATCAGAGGAGGGAAAATTTGTGGCTTATAATGAGCTATATTTTATCAAGTTTTAAAAAAGAGGGCTAAACTAACTCTGACCTCATCATATTACACAATGTCACATGATAGTAAATGGAGGTTTACAGCCAAACTTCGCCTGTTTTTGATATATGCTCTCATTATGTGATATTAGAGAATAGCATCTAAAGATGTCAAACAATATAGTTTTGGCAGAACTATTAAAGCTCACTGGCTCTGGCGTAAAACTGATTTCAATGGCTTAAAGGAAAATGGATATGACACGTGACATGTAATTGTAGTGAATGCTTTTGGACCCAGCAATTATGTGTAAAATCAGACTTTACGAAAGCTTTTGTCTCTGCGCAGCTTTTTCTGACCTTCTGGGCAGTGTTAAAGGAGTCATAGTGTGTCTGTTCCTTCTCTTTACGTTATGTACAGTTTTGGTGGTGAGTTGGAGAGAAAAGAAAAAGTATGTATGGCGATTATGATGCTCATGGTGGATTTGAAGGCAAATGGGATTCAGGCTTTTCTTTCAATGTCTGACCAGGAATAATAAGATTTATTTTATTTTTTTTTACTTTTCTTTAAAATGAAAATATAACAAATAAGAACATTTAAAAATTTTCGGTATAACATTGTGCGCTTATTTATTTTAAAACCAATAAAAAGGCTCATCAAGGTGGAATCATATGAGGTTAAAGCTGAGTAAAATAAATATAGGGAGGTTGGAAGAGTCCAACCTAAGTTCAGAGAAAGAGAAAAATTCCCTGAAAACCTCAATAGCTCGAATGAGATATTTTCTGGTGGACATCAAACAAAAGGGGTTGTGTTTTACGGTACATAGTGAATTTTCCAAAATATGTACCCTTAAGCACTGAAAAGGTTTCCTTTTTTATTTTATAATAAACTTCCTATAAATATTTATAGGGCTGTACTCCTGACAGAATTCCACTGACACCTAAATCAAAATACGCACAAGCTACAGGCCCTTTATGAGAATTTATAGGTGACATTACGGCTGAATATATCATGTTACTGCTCTGCTCTTTACATGTTTTTCTGACCTTACAAAGTCTAAAATCAGAAGGCATCACACTTACTTTGGCTGTAGCTCTTAAACGTGCTAAATTAACTACAATAAATACCGGTATTGTACTCCATGAGCCTGTTGAGAGAGGCAGGCTGTCACCGTCTTGGATATGGGGATTAAAGAAATCTTTAAACAGGGATCCTCTCCTCCACAAGCACACATTTCCTTTCAGCATATGTTGACTTTTACTAAACTTTAAACATTCTGAGACGTGCTCATGGTCTGCTCGGAGGTAATGCTGAATAAACATCTGCTCCCTGACGTGGCCAACTTTCTACTTTGTCCTCCACAAAGTCATCTCATCGCTCCTCTAAATGTTCCATAACACTACAGCAGCGACTGGTGCTTTTCCCTTTTTTTTTTTAGGAGCCGTCTTTTCTTTTCCAGGGGTTGAAATAAAAAAGTTGTTTTTTTTGCATTGTTTTTTTTATTACAGCCTCTTGTGAAAGAACGGGGCAGAAATAATTCTCATTTGTAAAGAACGGGGTAAAAAGTAGCGATAGCTTCTGGGTTATTTTGCACGTTGAGATTTATTTGGAGGGTTATTCTTCAGGAAGTGACTCTACCTGCCCCCCGGTAAGGTTGGTATTGGCCTTGGATATGTAGTGGGGGGGGGGGTTACTACCGATTGCTAACGTTTTTGGAGTTTTGGCTGATTCAACAGTAACCCTAATCAAACCGTTCACCCTCCCTTTAATAAAATGTATAGCCACAAACACAAAGTTATCTAGGCAATAAATAAATAGTGAGCAAATTGACCTGGTGAAGCATTAAACCCGGTGCTGTGCTCCTCATGTTCCTCATTAGCTTATCTGAGGCCGAGTTATACTGGTCTCTCTTTGTCTGCCCGGTGCCATCATCTCCAGCGGAATTCACCTTAGTTTCTGAATCACTTTGAACCATCTTCACATTTCCCTGCTCCTGGGAGTTAGACTCTTTAAATGGGATTTGAAACATGGCAGCGTTCTTAACACCAGGCTCCAAAATAAGACAACAGAAAAGCTGTTTAGCCATTGGTAGCCACAGGGTCTGATAAATATTAGTGGCAGGTCTGACTTGGTCAGAGGCGAGATGATGAGTTACATAAACACTCTCAACTCACGTGTGGCACGTCCTAATGAGCCTTCTCGCTGGAAAAGGGCAGATATGTTGAGAAATTCAAGTCTCGTCTATGGGTTTAATTATGACGACAGGGCGATTACCATAGATTGGAGAGGTAATTTGATGCCATTAGGAAGAAAAAAAAAACTTTAATGTGGTCTAATGCGTCTCATCTCCTAAGCCCCCCTGTCCAATATCTAAGCACAAGTAGGGAGCTTGTGTTTGAATGGTGCAAAGGAAGCTCAACTGTCTCTGGAACTTGTCAGAACTTCTCAGCCTGAATGCTTCAGCCCGAGTAAATGAATAAAATTGCAGATTTAAAATCGCAGTGACCTTAATGAGGCACAGATACCACGTCACCTTGCATAAAGCAGTTCACAAACTCCAAAAGGCAATTTAGGCCACACAAACAAATCTATAAGCAATTCCAACCAATCAAGCGCTAATGCTTCGTGTTTGTGCAATTGTTCCACTCAATTACAACTTATCAGAACTGGGCAGAAAGAGGGAAAAGCGGCCCATTAGGCTGCATGGCGTTTACCGTCTTCTGATGTTTACTGGCATTGACTAATCGACTGCATTATGGTAAAAACAATGAGGAAAAGCCCCGGGGGGCCCTGTAAGAGTTTTTTGTTTGTAGTTTTGGCTAAAAGCTGTGGTGTAAGTCGGCTTTTTTCCTCTCAAACACTGTAAAGCAAGTCCTTTTCAGAAAAAAATCTGCAAAAAAATGCAGACATTTTAACCGGAATGAAGGCAAGGCTTTTTGTGAATATCCCAACCTGGCAACCGCCCACAAACGACTCCGGGAGGCGGAATACATTCTTTACGGGGAAAAAATAAAATAAAATTGCATTTGATGCCCAGATTTTATCAAGTGATCTATCAGCAGAAATGTCACTCCAAATAAAAAATTCAAAAATGGGGGGGGGGGGGGTTTTTACAATGCTTGGACTTCAGAAAAAAGATTTAAAACCATAAATCAATATGGACCCTTTGACATCGGCTGTATTTTTAGTGCTCACCCTTGCCCCAATCCCACGCGGTACCTCGCTTCTAAAAAGGCAATAACCATTTATCTTAAGTGAACGTCGAGGGCAATAGAACACTTTCTGTCCAGCGATTAAACGCCTCCCTGCTCTGCCATCTCCTTTCTTTCCCCATCACCTTTCTCTCACCCTTAGGCGGTTCAGCGCGGCGTCGCTCAAACTCTCAAGGGCTAATTTCTCTCAGGCAGGGTTGGGAGCCATTTACAGTAATATATATACATATATATATATACAGCTGTGTAGACTGCACGGCGGTAAAACACAGACAGTCAAATCCGGTGAGGAGGATCGTCATCCGACCATGTTAAGAGTGGGTCGAGTCTTCAGTCACGACCGATGGCGTCGGCTCATCTGCACTTTACGACACCCTGATTTTACATTCATTTCGCGCTTGGTGCCACAACGATCCAAGAGGCATCTGTGCCCACAAAATGGCAGCTCATGCTCATGGCTTTGCACCGATTTTTATTGGTGAGCACTACGGGGTGTGCAGCACAACCTTCTATTCCCCAGAAAGCCTGAGAAGCAGCTTTCAGGAGGGGTAAAGCAACAACAAAAAAGAAACAAAAAAAACTGTGTCCATTCCTAATAACCAATAACATCTCCGTGTCGGCTTCAGGCGAGATGCTTATTTTCGTTATCGGCCAGGCGAAAGCTCTAATTTAGTCCCTTAAGAAGCTGTGGAAATATTGTATCCGCAAGTGAAGATGATTCATCATCTTCAGTCTGTGCTGGAGGCTGTTCAAAAGAGTTTACTATAACCTGATATAGTTTTATTTTCAAAGATTAAAAATTCACATAACTGAATCTTACTTTGGCTCAACAACAACCCCAAACAAACAGCCAGGAGTTATGCGGATGGATCCTTGCTGGTACGACTGACCTCCAATCTTAAAGCCGTTAAATGAGTCTGGGATCCAAAAACAAAACCAAAGCAACTTAAAAAAAGCAAGAATCCAACTTATTCAGACAGAAGAGATTAAAGTGAATGATTAAGTGTTCAAACTGATAAACCAAACTATAAATAAAGGTGTAAACAGTGGCTAAAAGGAAGTTGGGAAATAGGAAGTCCTCTTTTCTCTTTTAAGCCTATTTAGAGGGTTTAAATATTTTTTTATTTTAATAGTTCCTTAGATTGAGTTGAAGAAAATCAATTTAAAAAAAGCTGACCCCTAAGGTTTGAGCTTTATAAAGTCAAAGGACTACAACTGCTGGTGCTGCAGGTAACTAAAAAGAAATGTTATGGAAATCAGATATCATTCAATACGTGCAGGCTTCAAGGTAGAATTTCCTTTCTTTAGTAAGGGCAGAAGGTCTGATGTCCATTTAAATATGAAAGCCACATATTAGAAAAGTTAATAGAACCGTTTTCTTTTCCCTCCATAAAAAAGAAAAAAACATCCATTCCCATTAACCCATTTCCTTGTGCACTGTGGCCAACGGAGCGCATCACAAGCTGTGCCTGTTGTCCTTTTTGTCCCGAGCTAAAATCCAGACCTCGCTTTTACGCACTAACTGCTTTAGCCCGAGGTGAAATGAGTGTTTATTATGAATTTAGATATCCCATCAAGGTCCTGTGATGGACTGACATCGGAAATGGGGGAAGAGGATCTGTCTGTTTACCATAATGTGAGGTACAAGACAGGGGGAATAGGCGAGACATGGCAGCGCTCCTGCTATATAAATGCAGCCCGGTGGCGGTTGCCTTGGGCATGCAACTGAATGATATTGAGGACGCATTATGCAAAGCCTGCATTTTTATTTCTTTCTACCTAAAAATAATTCACCGGTTTGACGTTTTCTTTGGGAAGGTTACATGCAGCTTTTTTCCCCTTCTTTTTTTTTTTTTTTAAATGTCATTTAAACCTGCTTATGGGAGAGTAAAGTTTAGAAAGTGGGGAAGTGAGCTGGCACCTTCGACTGAGAATTAAATGGAAGGAAAGCAAGAGGAAAATAGTGAGGCAACATACAGCCACTGGTTGTTGCAGACCGAGTCAGCTAATCAAACGTCAGTAGCAGAAAAAACTGAGAGGACTTAATTATGAATGAAAGAAAGGCACTCCGTATGAACCGGATCCTTGTGGTGATGCACTACGAGTGAACCCGGGCCCCTGGCCCAGGGTAATGGGCTTTGGGTTTTCCATTCCTCCTGAGAGCCAGTAGCAGAAGTGGTGGAGGATGAAGGCAGCCTGTGCAGATGCTCCGTCATGGTTTCCCTCTCCTCTCCCTACCTAAAGTAAACCCCACCCCTGATGTTTCCTTGTCCCCGTCAGCAGCAGCGAGCTCTGCCATCATCCCAGCCCTGAGCGCCCCAGAGGCAGCCGCAGCTGTTTTGGCCTCCTGCATCGCACGTCCTCTGCTGCTGCTTTTAACACCTGGTTCAGAAATATCCCTAACCTTTCTAAATAAATAAATAAACTTTTAATAATAAAAAAAAATCCCTCCGTGCAACCATCTGCATGGTTCCAAACAGCGCACCTCATCCCTGCCACCATTGGGTGATATCTGAATGTCACAGGCAGCTCTGAGCTCTGGGCAAATGGAAAAGGGGCATGGAAAGAGATGGGGGGGTGGGGGAAAGGTGGCCTAGATAAAAGTCCTATAGAGTAGCGGGAAGCAGCCCCAGAAAGGCTCCCACCTGCAGGTAGTGATCTAGGATAACTTTATCTTTGGTTGAAGGTCAGGACACTCTAAGGTTAAAGTAAAAGCCACCTGGCCGTGGTGGGCGGCGTTCTCCTGCATTACCCTTTTCCCCACGCATTGCTGCGAGCTCCACTCATCTCCCAAAACACAACTTACACTGATCAATTAGCCTAATAGGTGCCTTGCTGTGGCACTCCAAGTGAGAAGTAGCTGGCATTGTCACAGATTAATCACCTGACATATCCTAATTAATTACGCCTCTGATAGGAGCTGATAACAAGCCTCCCAAGTGCTTCTAAATTGGTGGTCCACATCTGTGACATTTGGCTTTACAGGGAACTACAGCTGAAAGCCGATTCTGAAGGCCGATCCTTCACGCTAGGTGTCATCCCTTAAAATTATGAAAAAATAAATAAAAAGGGGGGGGGGGTGCTCTGTGCAGATAAATGATCTTTTAGTTAATTTTCGTTTGAGGCTTGCGCTCTTTATATTTGCCAATTAAGACTAAGCGGCACTGTCTGCCTTGAAAAAGAAACGGTTTACCCACCCAGCGGGGCCTCCATTCATCACGCTCTCATGGGAGACAAGCGCCATCTAGTGCTACTCTGCTGTACTGCCAGCACCCGCAAAGGGCTGCATTTGGCAGACAGAAAACAGACAGTTGGTACTTCAGCCAACCCAATTGGTCTCAAAGTAAACATGGAGCACTTTAATAAAAAATCTTTAAAAAACAAGAAAAAAAGAAAGACTCTAAGCGTTGTCTGCAATAACAGTCTAAGAGTCATCCCCAGAGATGGATGGATGTTCTTCCCAAGGACTTTTTGTGGCTTATTTTGTTCTCCTTTGTCCAAGTCAGAGCTGAAGGCAGCTCTCCCTCTCCTTCAGAATCCATATCCAACCTGCTTAGCCCTGATTTGTCCAGGTAACAGGCTCATTAGTCTGCCCCCTGCCCATCCCTGGCTCTTCCTGCACCCTTAGGTACCTGCCGTTTACCACAGGTGGCCTTGTAATTGCTCTGCGGTGCGGTCGTGTTCGGTGTGGCTAAGAGAGAGCGGCCTTACTAATGAGGCTGCTCCCTGTGAGCAGGTGGGAGTGTGGCGTCACATACATCTGGCTCGCTGTTGTGATATCACACCGCCGCGTGCTGGTGCGTCAGATGGAGAGCCAGACAAATCACCCAATCTGCGCGCCCGGCTCCCCAGCAGCTTCTCAGCAGTCCACCCTGATCAGGCGTGCTTGTGAAAGACGGACTGAACACTTACTGGTGACACACGGTTTGTCGGCGGCTTCGGCGTGAGTGTTGCTCCTGGGCTGCTCCTCTCCTCCGCTGTGGTGCTTCCGGGTTGGCAGAGCCCCCGGAGCTGCTGGCGGCTGAGCTGGCAGCAGGAGGTCTGTGCACCACACCACACAATAGGAAAAGTTAGTTATTTCAGAGGTGGTAAAGGGTGCAGACAGTTTAAAAAGAAAGCAGGAGAATGATGACAACATGAGCTATGATCTGATGGGCAAACATGACCAATCACTTAGAACATACATGAGCATACAAAGATGACTTCACGTCATCTCTGAAGTGAAGCAGTGCCTGAATGTCCACTTCTGAAATATTCATTCAACAATCTGCATTTTCAGTTGGCCAAATGAAAAATAAAAAAGAGAAAATCAAAAGGGTTAATGGGCGACTTAGTCTTAGTCTTTTTTTTTTTAACACATAAGGTCTCCAGTGAACAGCAACACTAATTGTATGGTGTAAGGAAACTTGGTTTGGTTACATGAAAAATACATCAAATGTGAATAATATTGTTTAATAACTATGAGTTTACATGATTAAGTAATGCAGCCACTGTGTGAGGGAAGGTGTTAATTGGTCTATTCCCAAGGGGGCAATCAAAGAAACAGGGATTATGTGCTTTGTGCTTAATATTTAAAAAGTTACACAAAGCGCCCGTTTTTGGCTTGAGTGCATCATTTAACTCTCCTGTACAAGTTGTTTCTATGTGCATAGGGCTAATTTAGATTTGACCAGCGTCCACTCGGCGCTGCTTCGGGCTGTTTGGTGAGCGTACAAAAACAGCGCGTCAGGCAGACTGCTAGTACAGAAGGTAGTGTCTGAGAAAGCAGAGCCCGAGGCGTTACGTCTGTCTCTACCATGTACTCTGGCCTAAAAAGGGAATTTCTCCATCAGGTGGTGTAGCACCACCCTAAAACCATGTTTCTATTAGATTAAATTACCCATCAAAGAGGTTGTGGGTGGCCACTCAGAAGAAATTAGTGGATTTTATTGTGTTAATTTCTTAGTGACTGACTTAACAAAACAAAGAACAAATAGGGGCAAAAAATTAAGTGTATTTCTGTGCTTTACAAATCAGGTTCCGACTCCCAATTTGTGCAGATGAAGCTCTTACCCCTTTTTCTCTGTGCCTCTTTGATCTCTTCACACATGCGGTCAAACTCAGGGTCCAGCTCAGCGGCAAATATGGCGTGGGCCGTGTCCTTCAAGCTGCACGCTCTGTGCCTGATCACCTTGTCTGGGAGAGGGAAGGGGGGACAGGAAAATGTGAGGCGCACCGTTCTTAACGTCACGCTGGCATCTGCCGGTATCTCTGCCGCCAAAGGCTCACACACTAGTCGATTTTCCCTCACTCCTTTAAAAAAAGGCATCTCCTCCACGCTCATACACGCAGGGTGAATAATCGATGGCGAGACGCCCTCATTCCGAGAGGACGCGTGAGAATGAGGACTGCGTTTTTTTCCTCACCGTCAATGAGCCGCCTGAAATAAGAAACTTAGGCACGACGCTGGCAATAAATCGTTGATTTCACGTCACGCATTAGGCGGACAGTAGGAGGATGAACGCGCGCAAACTTTTTTAAATGCGCACTCATTATCCAAGATTCCTTAAACCCTTACGACTCGTGTGTCTCTCTTTCTCCATATATGTGCTATAGCATCATTAAATTTCCCATTTCCCCTGGATGCCTCTGCGTTCACGGAGGGAAAATAAAGAAGGAGTTGCAGGAGCAGGCTGAAGGCTGAAGGCGTATCTGCTGTAAACAGACAGTTTCTCATTACAGCAGGCAGTAGGAGAGCAGTTCAGGCATAGTGGGGCAGAGGGGTCACAATCTGCCAACTTCTGCAGTCTAATTGGAAGATGGCCGCTTAATTGCAATGGAGGTAAACTGGGTGTGTGCGGCTTTTATAACAGAGTGTGTGTGTGTGAGTGTGTGTGTGTGTGTGTGTGTGTGTGTACGCCCGTGTGCGAGTGGAGGCAAGTGCGTTTTAAGGGCAAAAGAATGTCTGTCAGTGGAAGAGGTGTCAGAGGCCAGGTAGGATGATGAGAGCTCGGCGGAGCCCTTTGGAGCGTCGCATAACCTCCTCATCTACATGCCGAGAACGCACTGACAAGCAGCACTGATGCTGTGGAGTTCCCTCGAAGTTTGGAATTTATAGTTGAAAAAAAAAAATGTTTTTTAAAGAAACACATTAAGCCATCCCCTCTTCCCTCGAGCAGCTGAATTCCTGAAACTCAGCCACATTGCAGGGAGGTAAATAAAACAAAGAAGAACAAAAAAAAAAGGCTTTACAAAGTTAGAGGACGAGGAGAAAGGGACCACCGGGGAATAATGAGGCCTTTTCTCAGCACTTTGAGAGATGGCGTTGAACTTGCCTGGCTGTATAATTGTGGGTCGTATTCCCCAGCCAAGCGCAGGGCAAGCAGGGAACAGAATTGTTAGTCCTCTTTATTAAACCGCTTAATTGCATTTTCTCCCTTTTAGTGTATCATTTGTGGGCCCTGCATTCAAACAAATGACCCAGGCTCTCGCCTGCAAAGACGGAGATATGATTTATTCATTTGGGCAGAGAATTGCCTCCCATTAGTATCAGGGAGCTACATACTTGCAAGAGAATTGAAGCAGCTAAACACACAAGGCGAGAGTCAAAGCTGTCATTAACTTTAAAGTCTGAATGCTGGCAGCCTTCGCTTATAACCAGAGTTACACAATGAGAGGGCTTCGAAAAAGCTCTGTGTGCCAAACTTATGCTCACTTTTACTCATTTTCATGTTAATTGTCTGATATTATCACAACGTACGCGGTTCTTCCCAGCTGAATGTTCCCTTTAATGTGAACTAATGCAGTATTTACGCCCCATTAAAAGTCTAATGCCCATTTTGAACTCGAACAGCACAACTGTACGTTTAAAAGCCGAGACGATGCTTAGGAGGGGGAGAAAAAATTAATCGAAAATGACTTCAGATTGCAAGATATAGTGTATAATGTTTTCCTTCTACAGCTCCAAAGAAAGAACCAGACTGACAAAATGCTATTTTTAAATGGATGTTAACACAACCTGTACGTTATCAAATCAAATTTAATTACTGCAAGGCCATAGCTGCGAGTCCTCAAATGTAAGATGTGAACACTTTGAAATGATACTTGCTGATGTTAGAAAAATGAACATTTATTTGGCTGGAACAAAACGGACGGAGGCCATATGTTAATACTAAAGCTTCTAAACCTGCTCCGAGCCTGCTTTAAAGATGTACCGGCTGAACTCTCAGATGTGTGCTACAAATACGTTTACTCTTTTTGAATTTAAAAGGAGACCAATAGAAGGCCTGCCTCTGTCTTTATGGTAGTGTTTGTCTAGGTGGGCAAACGGCAGCTTACAGTGCCTGCATGTGTATTCGGGAGCATGTCGTGGGCTGTAGGCCTCACCTCCAGGATCCTTGTCTGGATTGTATTCCAAGGCGTTGCTGCAAATGAGGTCGATGTCCACCAGGAAATCCTTGGCTGTCAAATAGCGGTGAGTGTCAATCTTTGTCATGACAGTGGACAGGTCCATGGGCTGCCTAATCACCTCCAGGTAGTCCGACACCTGACATACAGATGCATAGTTCGTTTAACAGAAGATGAGAAAAACAAGAAAAAAAAACAACAAAACACAAAAAGAACAGAACTCTGCCGAGCCGTGCCACCTTTACCTCCTCGATGTCGACTGGCTTGCTGAAGATGTTGAAGCGTTTGTCAGTGGCCAGGCGCTTGGTCACGTCCCTGAGAAAGAGTCGCAGCTCCCGTAATGTGTTGTCCTCCTGTTCGGCCAGGCGCCGCTGTTCCTCTGCCGACAGGAGTCTGGGACCTGGGGCCTCCGCCACTGCCAGCACTTCCTCGTGCCTCGCTGTCGGTAGAGCAGCGAATAACCCCCGGGTTAAAAGAAATAAACGAGAGCAGGTGTACTGTACCAGATACATGTACCAACCCACAACCCCTCCTTTTAGCTTGGATTTAGAAGAAAAGCCTTCACCACAAAATGGGCTGCTAAAACTGGCCAGGGCTTAAGTTATGAATAACTAATGTAGATTCAAAATAAAAAGAGGGTTTTTTTGCTCAAATCATACTTGCAAGGCCTATGGTGAGTTTCAAGGGCAAGAGATACACCCAACTGAGCAAGGGACCACTTTTTAACACCACAGCAGATTATTTTGCTTTCACACCAAAAGAAGAAAAACCCTGAGGTTTTTAAATTCACCATGAATGAATTGGCAGCCTGATGGAGAACAGTAAACAGCCATTCCCTGCTCCCCTCCATATACCAGTGCTCGCCCAAGGCGTCTGCCTATATAGTTAGGAAGAGTCTGTGCAACCTGCGGGCGCCTCCACTCACTAACGGCAATCTTGATTCTAATTATGGCAAATAGCAGGATGAGCCATCTCATAGCAATTCTCCTCAACGCTCTGCTGCTGGCCGCTCAGCTGGAGGTCCGACTGTGTGTTTAGGAAAGGTTGGTGGGGGCCTGTGGAGAGCAGGGCCCCCCTGCCTGGCAGCGATGAGTAGCAGTGGCTGAACGGCGGCCGTCGTTTCCATTTTAAAAGCCGCGGCTGGCGCTCCCTTATGCTAGAGCTGGAAGGTGGCCGTGATTTCTAAGCTTCTGTTTCTATACCTCTATACGCAATGCCAAGAAAACAACACGATACGCCCAGCCAATACCGTCGTCCAGGGACGGAGAGCAGAGAAAAGAGCCTCAGGCTGCGTGAGTTCACCTGGATTCCTGGGACGTGGTGGAGGTCTGACGGCTTGCACCAGCAGTAGGTCAGAGAAGAAGTTCCTCTTCTCCTCTTCTCCAGGAGGGCTCAGCGTTACCAACTCCCCATAGGTCTTCTGGAACATACATCTTACCTGGAGTTAAAAAAAAAAAAAAAAGGAAAAAAGAAAGAAAGAAAAAGGAATCTATGTGAGTGGATACTGAGCTAAAAACACCAGCGAGCCCGGCAGAAGCGCCGGCCTTAATGAGCATGTGAAACTGTTTATTTCCACTAATGGGAAGGTAAAGGGAAAACCGGCTCCTTCATCATTTTTATTGGAATAAAATTTATTCAGAGCCTTGCAGCTGTAATAAAACTAAATACTAATGGCTTCGGGATAAAAAAAACAAAAACGACAGCGCTTTTAAGCTTTTGGGGACAAACAGGGGAAGACTTTGGGTAAATGCATTTCAGGACAATCGGGGTGTGTGCAAATAATGAGGTGAGACAAGAGTTCAGGAAAGGAACGAAGACTCAAAATTCTGATGCGTTAAGTGATTCAACGCATCTTTATTCAAAACAATGCAGGCTTTATTTTCAAGAATATTGATCGAATAAAACAAATTTGGAGGAAATATTGACTACAGTATGACAGTAGCCTGATCAAACGGTGAGAACACCAGCATCATATTGTAAACACCATGGGGTGCCGACACAGACAATCCGTCATGTGTAGACAGAGATATGGTTAAAAGAGAGGATGCAGGCAGACAAGAGGAGATCCGTCATAAAGATCTTTAATGAAGTCCTACCCGACTAATTTCCCTTTTTATAAGCACAATGTAACAGGAGGAGGTCTACTCCTGACAGCAAAGAAAGTGGGGACATGACAGTGATAAACACCCAGCCGGAGTAGTTTTTCCACACTCTTAATAACTCTACACCGACCTTCTGCTTTCCTGATGAGCAGCATTGAAACTTGACCACTCATCTGCTGCTTACTCACCGAGAACAACCAGCATTGCAGTATTACAAGTCTCCCTAATCTGGACCAATATTAACGAAAACTGCCAGCCTTTTGAAATATCTCTTTAGAAATGATTTGCTATGTAAAAAAAACAAAAGAAAAAAACGGCACATGCTGGGAAATCCACCTCCATGTGGAAACAAGTAATTTCAGCTGTGCATTTTAACTGAGCCCCATGGATCCCTGTGACACAGCTCTGGGGCACTCCTGACAAGAAGCTGCGCTGCCGACTAAACCCCAGCTCTCCTCTTCACATCTCCTCACAGGTGTCAGTCACATCGATCCAGAGCCATGTTGGTGGCGTGTCTGCCTCTGGTTATCTCCCACTGGATTGTGTGCTCTGCCTTCAGCAGGCAATAATTCTCGTTGCGGTGCACAGCGGCAGGGGGTGTAGACACGGGAAAGATGTTTTTTCTTTACGAGGGAGAGTGAAGAAAGACTTTCAGACTTTCTGCCAGGATACAGCAACGCTAAAGCCAAAGCTGTTGCCTGTGTGTGGGACGGATATGTTACTCTAATGTGAATACCCATCTAATTTTTCTGAAGAAAAAAGATCTCCATGTCTAAATGTGCTGGTCTGAATGGAAAACTGGTAATTTTGTTCATTTTAAAACTAGTCACCTTTGCCTGATTACCACCAACCAAATAAAGCCTCAGAGTTCTTATGGGGGTTTTCCATTAGTTTCTACTCATTCCCTCAGCCCTACTCGTCTCTATTCGCCGCAACTCGGTTTGACCCTGTGGCCAATCAGTGGCCGGTAGTCTGCCACTGGCCTGAGAAAGCTAGCTTGGAACTCTGGCCGAGTGGGTGCTACAATAGCTAAAAGCTACGCTGATGAAGCATCTTTTGTTTTGTTTTCCCCACATAAGACAACTTAATGGGGCAGAAACAGTCACTGAAATTCACCCCTTCAGCTCAAACAAAATCCTCACTTTACATCTGCATACAACTCAAAATAAATCGATATTCAAGCTATGTAAGCAACGCCTGGCCTGTAAATTCAGCAGCTCTTAAGGAAACAACACCTTAATATCGCAAACATTTTGCCATCATTTAAAAAGAGTTGGACGTTGACATAAATGCAGGAGTGACACGAAGAGCTGGAGATTTACAAATGGAGGCAATTTAAAGGGCTGGTATCAAACTTCTTTAGCACAGCCGAACACCTGAGCTGTGCAGGGTGGTGCAGTGGCACGAGATATGCCCTGTCCACCATTTTACAAGCAAGAGGACCAAAAGTTTGCAAAGTTTGATGCAAGACATCAAAAGAGGAGTGAAAACGAGGCAAAAGCATTTCAAAGTCATAGTGAGACAGCAGCAGTTGACCACATAATGTCATTCCTAAGACTGTCCTACATAAGGCTCCATCCGCTGACAAAACGCTCTCTTTCGGTGCACCTTTGATGCCTAAAGCGAGCATCCTGAAGCACAAAATGGACTGGAAAAAAAAAAAAAAAAATTCTTTCCAGTTAAAGATTTGTCTCTCTTATGGCCTCGTCATCGAGCAGTTTTCATGTTTATTGCTCTTCAGTACAACGTAGGAGGACTAAACAGCTGCTGAGTAAGGGAGGGAAGCCAGGGAACTGGACCAGAGCCTGAAGTGTCAGTTTGGCTGTGGAGGAACGCTGCCTGTTCCCTGCTGAGGTTTGGAGCTGAGACAGCAGCTGTCACTGTATTCTGTGTGCCGGGGAGCAAAACAAAACCATTAGATGGCCAAACCACTTAAAGGGCCATAGACTGCAGTACAATGCTTAAGATGAGGGAGAAAACAAGCATTTCTATTAAATAGAGATAACTACTTGACACCAGCGTCATTTTCAGAATGTAAATTGCAGCGCGAGAGTCACTGTTCTGGCTGCCAAATCAAATCAAATGTAATTAACAGCTTCTATTAATGGTTCAGTTTACTGTAAAGAGTCAGAATACCAACGAGTGGGCAGTAGAATCTCTATAAAAAATAAAAAAACAAGCAGATCCAAAACACTGAAAGCAAAGCATTAATATTTCCATCTCTGGAATGAAAAACCTTGATTAATGTTCCGTCTTTATTCAGCACAGAGCTGATAAATAATGACCAGAACCTCCAGCCTCACCCGACCTAAAATTCCAGTTGAAAAACATGAGATTTAAAATAAACCTCTTTGGTGGTGGTTAACTGGGGTTTTGCGCTACATTACCCTTCATTTATTGATATTTCTCAGCATTCAGAAAGGTTGAGCAGCTCCACCAGTCATGCCAAGGTCCGATCAAGATTTCTGTCATCATTAAGGCTTCAAGCTAAAGATGTCAGTCAAGTGGGAAACTTGCAGTGCTTTTAGGAGAGCTCCTAATCTAAAACACAGTCTCATACCCACACTGGCTAAAATAATAACCACTATATAAAAATATATATATTTTTGAGGTCAAACCTCAAAAGTTTGATGAAAGTGTGCGGCTGGATGCGTTTACAGATGAAACAGCTCTCAGGTCAGCTGAATGTGCCGAAACGCCAAGGAAACAGCCCTTATAGTCACAGTGCTGTTCTGGTGACCATTCACAACAGGAGGAGGGACAGTTTGTCCAACAGGAGGCTCATTTTTGTCAACAATGAAGATAAATTCTGCAACTAGCACAACCTGTTTATATACGAGAGAGAAATTGGGCAGCATGGAGATATGTGCTGTACAACTATGTCGCCCAGCCCTAACTAAAGCGGTACAGCCATTAATCGCTGTTCAACCTGACAACAGTCAGGAAAAATTATTTGATTAACTTCAGAGGAGTTTGCAAGAACCCAACAATCCTGAAGTACTGCGAGCGTTCTGAATGAGGGGAGAGAAAAAAAATCCTTCAAAGAACACTTAAAAAAGGGACATGTCAAAGTGTCCTTGAGCAAAGAGGCTGAACCTCACGCTTTCTTAGAAGCCTCCATCAGTGTGCAGGCACTGTACATACTTAAAATGTGTGTGAGAGAGAGAGAGAGAGAGAGAGAGAGAGAGAGAGAGAGAGAGAGAGAGAGAGAAAGAGAAAGAGAGAAAGAGAGATGGCTACTGTTCCATGTAGTTTTAAGAGCACTTTTGGTGTTACATTAGCACAGGCCATTTCCAAAGAAACACAACTGTCAGCCATCGAATCCAAGTCAAATGAGTCAAGCAGCGTCAAACACTGAACTCTGCTGATTCCAAAACAAACGGATCACTTAGATCAGTTTATATCTTGCTTTAGAATCAAAGTAGCACCGGCACAGGCCATAGCTGCTTTCATTCTTCTTTGAAAACTGGAAGGTCCACATTAAAGTTGTCATGTAGTTATATCCTTACAGTATCAAAATCCTGTTTGAAAAAGCAGCTTTCTGAGACATAAGGGAATATAAAATCATTTAGATTCTTCAAATTGCTCATAATTATTTTACCCAGTTTGTAATTTCCTTCATGCTATTGTGCGCTGGTGACAAAGAAGCAAAAAGTTAAAGTTTGTTATTTCCCGGAGAGGCTCTACAGCTGACAGCTTTGGCTAACGAGACGCTTTTCCAACTTGGCCGGTCTTTAAAAGTCACAAATAGAACCCCACAAAGCAGGTGCGCAAGGTAAATAAATGGACAAGAACAGATTAAAAGTTCATCATAGCCTGAGGACAGGCTTCATAGTCCACCTGCTGGCTCTGTGTTGATGATGTTACAGGTTAAATGTCTTACTTAGAAAAAGGTGATCAGAAGAAAGCAAACTTACTTAAAGGTACCCAATAAGTAAAACACAGTCAAATAACTCCTGGCATGGTGGCGTAATAACGTAGATTACTTTTCTAAATGCAGAGGGTGTTAGTGCAACACTATTGTGGGGGGAAAATGACAGTCAGAAGGGAAGATGAGACAAAAACAAGTTTAAAACTGTGAGGTTAATTAAGAGGTTAGGCCGTTGTGTGTGCAGCAGCCTAGGTGCCTCAGCTGCACTGAGCCAAAAAAAGAAAGAATCATCCCAGGAGTCCATCCAGCTTTCAAGCAAAGCAAAAGTAAAAGCCTGGGGTCTGTGCTGCCTCTGGCCCAGGGTCAACCATGAGGCCCCCAGCCTCTGGACCCAATTAAACTTCCGTTGCCTGACCTGCTCCCTGGTTTTGGTGTCTTCCAACTCCCCCCCCCCCTCTCTCTTTTCCAATCCTTCCCTTGAAGCCAAACCCACAACAGGTGATTCGTGGGCAGCCTTTGAGAGGGACAATAACAAAGCCACAACAAAGGATGAAAGAGTGGAGGTTGACATACCCAGAGAGAAAAGTGGGCAGCTGGATAAATGACAAAGGAAAAAGGGAAAAGATGAAGCCGGCGCAGATTAAAAGGGAAAAACACAACTCTGTGAGGGGCAGTTGACCTTTGTGATCATGACGTGTTGTGAAAACTTGACAGCACTGGCATTCCAGCACAAAAACAGGGACAGCAATTTAATAGAAAAGAAGGCCTGACTATGCCTCCATATCATATCCAAACAGCATTTGGTTTAAAAACAGAACAAAAACAACACCTAAAGCTATTGGCAATCACAAAGGGACCTCTGGGGCTCGCTGAAAAGGTTAGGTAAGGTGTGTTAGTAGAAAAAGTGTGTGTACCTCGTCTGACAGCCTGGTGTACTGGGTCTCAGCAGTGGCGAGGATGAGGATGGGGCTGAACGAAGGCACATCCTGCAGCAGGGTGAGGAAGGTGCTCTTTACGGTGTCACTCACTGTGTCCCACCACTCTGAGATATGTGGCATGTACACCACGCTGGGCACGCTCCGACGGGCCTCTCGGAAAACCTGCGAGCGCATTGGTCATGGTCTTAATGGGGCTTACCGGTAATTTCAGCGGGATCAAGCGGTTCAGCAATAAAAAGCTGCTTAGCGAGGCTCAAAATGCATGTCTGCTTTCACCTGAGCACAGGACTCCTCTGGCGTCTTGGCGCTGACGGAGTACAGAGTGGGCAAGTCCAGGCGGTGCACTGGTAGCTTGTCCAGGTGGTGCAGCAAGGCGGGGGCCAAGTGGGAGCTCTGCCCCGAGCCTGGGGGCCCTGCCAGCAGCAGACGAGGCCGGTATGCTGTGGGCTGTTGGAGGGCGGAGCTACAAGCAGACGGAGTTCACAGTTGGTACACGATGGCGCCCTCACAGCTGCGGGTCCATCGTTTCTGTCTCGGTTTTCATCGCTCGCTACAAAGCCCACTTTTCAGTATAAATGAATATCAAATACAAATCTGGGCCCTCGGTAGCTGTTATCAGCAAAAAAAATCTGCAATTCTCTGCGAGCGGCTTTATGACACTTTGGATCGAACAAAAACTAGCACAGACTGACTTCTACCATTTTCTCTCCGCTTTTCTCATGCACAGCAAGTCAATTCTACCAGCGGTAATAAAAGAAATCCAACACTCAAGTTACAAACTTAAACAGAATATTTTAAAAAAGAATGAGCACCACACACCAAGATGAGTGGTCACAGTTACAGTTGGAAACGTAAAACCGACAGCCTCTACCACATCACGCTGCCTTTTAACCACTAGCACTATGGGCTTTTGCAAAAACAAAAAAGGTTCCACTTTCCACGAAAACCGGCTTTTCCTCAACTCACGAAGAGAAATGAAGGAGGGGTCTGTGCAGTGCAGAAGAGGTGAGCGGACTCTTTGGGGATGCAGCAGGCTGGACTTCATATATGGAGGCAGAGCCATCCTCATTGTCATCATCGCTGTACAAGTCCTCTTCGAGCAGATGATTGTCGCCGCCTGTCACAGAGGGGAACGCCACACAAAATGCAGAGACGGTGAAGGGAGATGCACAGGCGGGAAAAGGATGCAGAGGCAGATCTGTGCAACATCTAAAAACCACAGGAGGCCCATCGTATTTAAAACAAAGGTATGGGTGTTTAGACTAGACTTGGCAGGTAAACCTAACGTCCATGTAAAAGAATCCAGAGCTCCAGGAAGTTATGTCATTATCTGGGTGCAAGAAATACAACTTCTGGGAGTACCTCCCACTGGTGAAGTGCTCCATTAAGTCTAATCAGCTGTAAACGCTCCTCTGCTGACTGGAGTGGGAGTTTGAGTTATTGTAGTGTTTACGCCATGATGAGCTATCCAATCTTTGTGCTACCACCTTTCCATGCTGTATGATCTGTGTACGAGGGCAACTGTAATAAGTTTGGGAAAAGAGGAAGCGATAATCAAATATTACAAACTGCCGACAGGAAAACAAACTAACGAGGGAGACGAGTGGCGAGACAGTAAGAGAGAGCGAGAGCAAGAAATAGAGAGCAAAGAAAACTAATCAGCCAGCTGGATCTGTGAGGGAGGGAGAGAAAAAGAGAGGGAAGGCTGCATCTCCTCACCTTGTGTGTTGTCCCTGTCGGTACACTGAGCATGGGGGAAGACTCGGAGCAGCGCTTTCAGCACCAAAGAGAATGAGCTGGCCAACAGGGGCCTGAGGGGAGGGGATAGGGCTCGGCCCGGGGGGGCCATGGCCCTCTGGGAGGCCGGGACAATTGTCCTCATTGCTTTGCTGAAGTCGCCGGACGCTAGGACAATGGAGGTGATATCCAGCTTCAATTTGACGCTGCTCCCATAGATCTGGGGGTAGCGCCGACGCAACGCCATCAATGCTGCCTCTGTGCAAAGTGCTTTGATGTCAGCCCCACAGTAGCCTGGGTGCACGGCAGATAAACAGGCAGTCAGTCAGTCACTCATTTGTTTCTCTCGGCCTGGCTTCTTCTGACAGATAATACAAACTGCTCCCCTTTGCAGTATGAAGAAGGATGGGGGAAAAAATGGCATCACGCTTACCGACACATTTTTCTGCGAGTTCATCTAGAAATGGCTCAGACAGTTTGGGATTCCAGTCCCTTGTGTGAATCTCCAAAATGTGCTTTCTGGCCTTTAAGGAAAACATATTGTAAGTAAAGGAAATATAGATATTGTGGAGGAGCACTGGATACAACTAGACACAACAATTAAAATATCTCACTAACTGTACAGCGCACAGCAGGACTAGAGCAGCTCACTGCCTATCATTTTTTCAGGTTAATGTGGCAGAGGCTGAAGGTCAGTGAACTATCTGCAAATGAGCCGGGTGCTCGGTCAGCTCACTGGTGAGATTAGGCTGCGATTACCAGTGATCTTGCTGTGTGAACAAACAATGCACGGCGACCCATTAGACAGGCTCCATGGGGAGGAGTCACCTACACTGAGCTGTTTATCTGATTCAAGGTAACATTTATCCATGTGTAATACTGTTTTATGCACAGCATGGAGAAGAGAACCCCCACTGGAGCAGGATTAAAGCAGTCAGATCTCAAAGAGCTTTTTAATTTTCTTGAAATGTAAACAGCGTTTGTTTTGCTTCACGCTGACTAATTCACAACATCCCATCTCATTAAGTTTACTTAAGATTTTTTTTAATAAAATTAAACAAAAAGGAAAAATTTGAAACCAGAACTGATGATGATGGACTGACGGCGCTGAGGTTTCTTTCTGTTGTACCTTCTTGTCGGGCAGGCTGAACAGAAACTCCCGATCAAAGCGTCCAGGCCTCCTGAGTGCTGGGTCGATAGAGTCAAGTCTGTTTGTAGCACCAATGACCACTATCTCCCCACGACTGTCCAAGCCATCCATTAAGGCCAGCAGCGTGGACACAATAGAACTGACCAAATGGGACAAGGGGGTAAGATAAGGGATTGGGATGTCAATTATTAAAATTGCATGGAAACACACACACAAAACAAGACTAACACGATAAGACCAACACTGACAAAACTAACAAGTCAATCCACCCAAACAAACAAGGCCTCGTCTCTGCAAACAGTACACAGGCAGGGGTCCATCAAACGTGAATACTAAGCAGTGTGGGACGAAAACATATCAGCAGAGCTCCATCGACGAGGACATAGGAGATCATCTGTTTAAATACGCAGGCTTTACGTTGTTTTAAAGAAACAGAGACAATTCACCCGAAATGATTAGGACTTGGCAGGAATCTTTGTTGCCTAAACCAATGGCAGACTGTGTCTGAATGCTCATGCTCTCTAGCCCGCTGTTTAAGAAAAACATTGGAAATCAGAGGTGAAACTCTTTCCATTTCCAGCACCGCTCCCGTCTAACCCCAAATAAATGAAGAAATAGGGACTGGGGTGTAACAGCCAGTCTCGTTTCTAATCAAATCGGCCCTGCCAGCAGGGTCCGACCTCCGGTTTAAGGCGAGCCTGCACCACCTACTGGCAAACTAAATAAAGACAGAAGCTACTTAGGAGTGCACATCTGGGCATCCTAGTCGCCAGAAAAAAAAGGGGGAAGAAAAAAAGTAAAATCTGTGTTATTCACTAGATTGTTAAGAAAGCAGTTTTTCAAAATATATTCTTTTATCCATTTTATTCTTACAGCTGCTGACTCAACATTTTTAAAGAAAGAAAAACACTACATTCACAAGCAACGGATGACTGAAGACTTAAAGGCTTTAAATCCCGTTTTAACTTAATTCTTAACAACAGTCATTCTTATTTTGATTAATGCAGAAATATGACGCATAATCCATCTGGCACGGAGGTTGTTTGTTGTCTAATAGATTAAGAGCGTAATTTGCTAGAGGACTGTTTCAAGCACAGACAGCATGTTCAGGGTACGAACATCAGCACAGAACAGATGTTCCGGCTTTGATCTGAGGACTAAAGCGCCGGGCACTTACCTGTGTATCTGGTCTTGCCTGCTGGAGCGAACAGGAGCCAAACCATCGATCTCATCAAAGAAAATTATGGATGGCCTCATCAAATAAGCCTGATCAAATAGCAAAGAAAGCACAGATAGCAGTTAGGTCAGCCTCTGTGAGAGCCTTTGGCCTGGTGAAAACGGCGTCGCGTTTGGCGTCGGTTCCTCGCGCCTCACCTGGTCAAACAGCAGGCGCAGCTGCCGTTCCGATTCTCCGACCCACTTGCTGAGGCAGTCGGCTCCTTTCCTCATGAAGAAAGAAACCTTCCTTTCCCCCTGACTGCACTCGTTGGCGAGCGCCCGCGCAACCAGGGTCTTTCCCGTCCCCGGTGGCCCATAGAACAAACACCCTCTAAAGAGGGGAAAAGAGCACCAAAATGAGACCAAAGAAAGTCCAACCATTTGTGTGCTATAAAGAGTCGCCTCCTGAAATTTAGAGCCGCGTAGTTCCACACCAATAATGTCAAAAGTATCAAAAGCTGTTCTAATAAACTCACCTGGGAGGCTGAATCTTGAATTTCTCAAAAATCTCAGGATACAGCAGAGGGAACACGACCATCTCCTTCAATGACTGAATGTGATTACTGAGACCGCCCACGTTGTCGAATTTCACCTGCAGAACAAACACCAACCATAAAACAGAGAAGTCTCCAATGGCAATCCAATTCACAGCTGAGGTTTAATTAAAACACCTTTAAGCTTTATGGTTCCTTTGTTTTTTTAATACTATTACTCACTGTATTGTCGAGGTTCATGGGGTCCACGTCGGCCAGGCTGGCGCCCACTTTCACTCTATCACGCAGCACGCCACTCGCCAGGTCCTCAGCTGTCAAGTTCATGGGCAAACACCTGTTGAAACAAACCCAGTCGGGGCAAGTAATTAAATCTGAGAGGTAAAAACACTTCGGGGGGTATAAAACTCCTCAGAGATGCCCGTCAAAATTCTCGGCTCGAACGACTTTTCCAACACGGCTGCACAGCTGGAAGTTGTTCTTTCAGCAATTAAGCCAGATTGAGAGCTCAAGAGGGTCAAATAAGGTCCAGCGTTACATTCTGTAATGGATATACAGTGGTCGGGCTTTTTTCTTTTCTTTTTTTTTCTTTCATTCTTTTTTTTCTTGTTTAATGGACAGCGGGGCAGAGAGAAATGGAGGGAAGACGATTAGAGAAAACAGCAGCGAGCACCTGTTCCTGGCCCGGGTCATGCTCTTGCTCTTCCTCCGCTCAAAGCGCTCTTCGTCAGAGGATGAGGTTGTGTCACTGCTGTGGATGGCGTGTTTCTTCACTCTGAAAGAAGCGCAAAAGCTAGACTGAGTGCTGCGTCACCACACATTGACATTCAGAGTTTATTCAGACGGCTGCTTGAGGGCCGTCCGAGTTGTGAGTTCCGAGCTCTGCCCACCTTATATGGCTTCTTCTTGCTGGGGATCTGTGGGTGTCGAAAAGTGAGGGGTTGCTCTGTTTTCTGTTCACAGGCTCTGACAAAAGAAAAACAAAGAGCAATTGATTTTATTTTTTTAAATGACTGCAATAACACCAAAAAAGGCCCATTAAAAGTTTAGGAAAAAAAAGTTTTTGAAATACCTATTGGTGGTGCCTCGTATCTCTGCACAGTCTTCCGCTGCCTCAGGTTGTACGGCCTGTCGTTTTCCTCTCCTGGCTCCTCTGCTTCATCCCCTTCATCATCCTCATCATCGTCTTCCCCGTCGTCCTCCTCTTCCTCTCCATGAGATTCTGAAAGATCAAAAATGATGGTATGAAACTTCACAGAGCAATCACATCGTGCAGCTGTTTTTAAAAAATATGCCCAAAGAACAAACTTCTGTCTTTGAGGGTTGAAAATGGAACAACCTTTTATATAAGGGTAGAGTTACACTGGTGCAAATACAGTAGCCCTGAGAGGACAAACTAACATGTGGCTTAAAAGTGAGCCTAGTGCACCACCTTCTTCCCACTGGACCTTTAAAGATAAAGACACAGGTGTTCCTTAGGTTCTTAGCTCCTCTGATTGACAAAAAACATGAAAAGACTTGGGCACCTTCCGTCCCTTCCTCCTCCTCGTCCTCCGTCTTGCTCAGGACTTTGTGGTGTGCCGGCATGCTGAAGGTGCTCCTGCGCATGGATTTCCGTCGTTTCACCCTGGAGTACATGTCCATGTTTTCCTGAAAGAGGAGAACCATGCTGCCATCACTTCAGCCCCTTCATGGTGTCAGACGGAGGGAGCCCGCTGCGCTCACCTCCTCAGTTTCCCTGGTCCACATGCGGAGTCGCTCCACCTCTCGGCTCTGCCTGATGTTGGTGATGTTGTCCATCTCCTGGAGGACAGCCTCAGCCGTGCTGCACGGGTAGACAGAGTACAACACCAATAATATCCAATGAGTTTGGTTTTTATTAAACACAAATCCAGGTTATTGAATCTCAAAAGGGGTCCAAATCTGCTCAAGCCGAACTGATTGTTCACATTAACTGCTTTCGCTTTGACTGACAGAGCAGTGCAATAGAAGGACTTTTTGTGCAGAGCTGTCAAAAGGCAGATACAGCTCGACTGGGCTATCTAACCGGGCCACCATCTCAGAACACCTGTATGGCATCAGAGTAGAGTTATTGGTGGAAATATGTTGGAAACTGCACATACTCTCATGACATTCTGCTACTTGAAACGGTCCTAGCAGGAGATCATTGCACACAGAAGTGTAGCTGAACTCAGAGCACAGACGTTGGTAAATTGAAGCATTTAATATTCCCTACAGCTTTATGGGGAATTTAAATAGTTCTTCAAAGTTATACGTTCCATTTAAGTCTAGCCGTGGTGTTGGCCTGGTTTTAAGAAGCTTTACTTATTTCCAATTCTGGTCATTACACAATTGAAGAGACTGGTAAAAAGTATTTTCTTTTGGTTTCCGGCTGTCACGTAAACGAGTCAGCTACCTGTTGACCAGCTGGTCAAACAGCAGGCTCTGATTGAGGTGTTCAAACTGGCTCTTCTTCACCCGGCAGCTCCTCTTCAGCTCCACATGGCCATTCATTCGGGAGTGATCCCCCCCGCCGCTGTCCTCATTCCGGTGATTCATATGGGCTGCAGTGGAAAGAGCGGACAAAACAGACATCTGATAATAGGCTTCCAAAACCAACACGATTCAAGACAAATGAAAAGGAGTGACATTACCATGGCCATTTTGCATTATACGCGAGGAGAGTCTAGAAACAAAGAAACAGAGAAACAGAATGAAATCAAGTTTTAGGTCTTTGCACAGAATGAAGGAGTCACATTATATTCAAATGATTACAGCATGTAAGAGGAAAATAAGATGGTGCAAAGTAAACTATGTTATTTCCATAAACAGTCTGAAAACAAAAGGAAACAGCCAACCTGGTGCGGTAGGTGGAAATGCCCCAGCTGACCCTCTGGTTCTTTGCCTGCGGGGATGGGGAAGTGTCACTGGAGCTTGGCTCAGAGGCCGTCTGCCGCCGCGTCCGCTTGGACGGGGGTGCCAACCGTGGGCTGCTGGGACTGCTCACATCACTGCTGGGCTCCTTCTGTTGAGTAAACCACAAAGCTTTTCTAAATACAAAAAAAGGAGGATAGCAACCCAAGGCTGACAAACAAGCCGAATGTAAAATGAAGCGGAGGAGGTGATTTTTTACTTTCCCCGACACTCCAAGGACAACGGAAAGCAAGAACACTGAAAGCCTGAACCAGAGCAGGACGTGGACGAGTCATTTTCGTGAAACTTCTTTATGCATGCTCTGGATGGCAACACTAACCAGACGTTTGCCCTTGATGCTCGCACCCTTCTGAGCTAAACTTCCCCGCTGATACAAGAAGCAGACCCCACCACTGTCACTGGCAGGAGGGTTTCTCTGACTTACTAAAAGAGAAAGACTGATGCAGACAAGGGGGGGAGAGGTGCACGATGTTGCCGAATTCAAACTTGGCAACTAATGGGGCGATCATTGAAATCATTAGCTCATTTGCCACAAGTCTGCGAGAACTATGATGTTTAGTCAATGTGGTGTTATAATAAGTTGCCAGAGTTCCACATGAAGCGACCCAATCGCATATTGCAACCTCATTAGTCATCATTTATCGTGACTCTGCTCCACGGCGGTGGCCTTTCAGGAACAACTTGAATGTCTTTCAACAGCTCTGCCAAGACAAAAGTCTACAATGTGTGCATCCCTAAATGATTGGATCGATAAAGTGATTTGCTCGGCCGCATTGACCGTTCAAACAATGCGGAAACACGGAACAGCGCACGACAATCCCCCCCACCTACTTGCATAATCACATTGTTTACATTTTCAAACAAAGACTGACAGCCTGCGGGTCAGAAGACCAGCGTAAAAACTAAAGGAAACAGTTTAGTGTTTCGCTAAAAGCTCAGGTGCTTCACTTGGCAAACACTAGTGGCACGTATTAAAAAAAAAAAAACGTCTAGTGGTGAGGGGAGCAACTTGCTCCCGGGGCTTGGGGTTATTTACAACAAAAAGTTCACCAAGTTCAGACTTGCTAAATGCGGGACTTGAGCCAGCCAACTGTTGTGGACCTACGAATCCCTTCCCCCACTATAAGCTAACTGTCGGGCTAGCTATTGCTCACAAACGCTAGCTCAACTAAGGTCTTATCTCTACGTAATTGACGTAATAATTAAGCTGATACTTATAGTAGGGAGACACGAAGCAATGGCATTAGCTTCTTGCCAAACGGCGTTACTGAAAGGGCTAAATTGTGTTGACAACGGTGAAACAAATCAGCCGGGAATAAATGCCAAACACAAAGGGAACTCAACTTGGTGCTAGCCAGGAGTTAATGTCGCTAGCATGTATTTTGACAGCTGCACAATGAGCCCGGTGCGAGGGATACGCCAACGAATCACTGCATTCGAGCCTTCCGTTGTGTACCTGCAGGACCGAGCGGGTGTCAGTTTGAATGCCCCCCGCGCTTGGCGGTAAATTAAACATTAGTTGGAGCAGCTTGAGGCCAAGGCTACAGCTACCTAGCAAAGTAGCGCAGCCAGCTAGCTCTGCCGGCAAGAGAAAAGAAACCGGCTTACACGTTCATCAGAGTTCCGCTCGTTTCTCGACGACGACCGTGTCCTCGAGGAGATAAAGGGACCTCTCCGCGTCCGAGAGTTTTTCCTCGTGTACACCATGGTTTCTACTTTAGGCTGTTCTCACTGAATCTCTCTGGCCGGCTCCAAACACTGCCTCAGTGAGCGCAGCATCGAGGCGCCATTTCTCCCTGTCTATCTCTCCCTGTCTATCTCCCTCCCAAGCGGTACTGAATCTGTTTGGCAGGTGCATTCATTTCTGCTGACAGGATTATTGCCTCAAAGAACCAATAACATGGTTACTAATTTTCTGTCTTTCTCTTTTTTTTTTTACTTTAATAGTTAACCCAAATACGTCGTTGTGTGTTTAAACTTTCCGTATACAGAAAGGATCTCGATAGTGGACAAATTACACATCATTGATATATTGAATCATTGACTCAAACTCATTGATCTGAACAACAATTCGTCATAATAAACCTCTGGAGGGATTTGCAGTCACCCAAACGCTGAGGGACCCAGAGGTTGATGTTATTCCAAACATTTCCATAAATTGTTTCCCAATGAAACAACTAAAAACAACAATGAGAAATATAAAGTGACAACAAGAAGGTGTAGAAGACCAAAAATAAACATTGCAGAAAACAACAATATGGGGATAATGATAACAATAATAAAAACAACTTAAAGGCATATAACAGTTACATGGAACTAATGGAATTACCTCAGAGACCCAAATTGATTAAAACCAGACCAACAAAAAAAAGAAACGGTACTCAAATGATTCTGATTTTTATCAAGAGATCCAACAGAAAGAAAAATTACATGTGACAACCACAAACGAGTGCTTCATAACTGAAATTAACATGATCACCAAAACTGGAAGCACAAAGAATGACCACAAGGAACATATGGATAGGACATCTCTGTGGCTGACAGGCATGGAGGAGTACATGGTTTGTTCTCTGTCAATTGAGGTAAACCAATAATTTTATGAGAAAAAAAACAATAGGTTTAGCCTTTTCTTGTTTGTTCTCATTGTGAGGATTCAGTTAACATGGCATCGTGGAGTTAATACTTGATTTACAGTGTCCAGATGTGGTTTTATGGATTCCACAGCTTCACAAACGCATTAAAGGAAGGAGATAACCATGTCCTTCCTACGCGGCAGCCTGGATATGCCTCGAACATGGTTCTGAAAGGGGAAGATAATTATTCACATCCGTAAAATGCCGCACTCCTTCTCATCTGACTATATGTGGTCCTCCACTGTGTATTTAACACACTTTCCGTTCTGCTGAGCTCAGCCATTCAGCACCATCACGACAACAGGAGCGCACTTACGGCGTCGTGACGTCACGCCTCTTGCTCAGCAGAACGGCCGCTGTCAGAAACTTGTAGCTGCAGATGTGCGGCTCAGGATTAACCGACAAAACGCGGACCGGTAAATAGTATCTTACCTTACCCTCAATGTGCCTATTTGAGTGAACATTTGAGGTGTTTGTAGAATCTGGTCTTGTTTTTGTGCTCAGCTCTTGTGCCGTTTACGTCTCGCGCGACCACGGCTCCCCTCTGACGCCCACTCGCATAAACAACGATAACGACACAGGCAGATTGGTTACCTCTATTTAGCCACGACTTTTGATACAAACCACACTTTTTGTCACAACGTTTTTACGTTTTTTCATATTCTACAGATACAGTAAAGATTAGGATTGAATTAGGGTTTTAAATCATTGTAACCATCAGTGAGTATCAGGTCTACCTCTATTTAAAGGCCCTGGTGACGTGATATTCCTCCTGCTGTCCTTATTTTGTTAGATGGAAATCACAGAAAGTCATGAAAGAAGTTGATACTGTGGGGGGCGAGAAAGATGAGAAATGGTAAGTTATCCTATCATTTATTGTCCTAAGATTCTGTAGTGATGGTGTCAAAGTCTAGCAGTAACATCACTGCTAGCTAACGTTAGAAAAGAAAGGCCTATGTAACGTTGATTTTGGACGAGGTATTTTGGTATCCTGTCCTTCCACATGTTTAAGCCATTGATCATCTACAGTCAGATGTCTGTGTCTTGTTGGGCTGGCAGTGAGAACAATGAGGAGGAGGCTCCCATGAGTCGCAGTTTCTCTGTAGAAGACCTCCTGGACGAGGTTGAGAAGATTTGTTATGATGCCTCCGGAACGTCAAAGGTCAGACATTAAGTGATCATAAAAAGATGCTGAATTCCATTATCACTCAGGCAGACCAATGGCCTTTTTTTATAATTTAACCATTTTGTTTGTGTTTTTCGGATTTATTATTTATTGATATTAATTAATTTTATTAATTTAATTTTGGTTTAAAAGACACGTGGGTGCCATCGCGTTGGGAGAAAAATAAGAGCTGTTTTGTTACATGTTTTGTTTGGAAAATCCCACGAAGACGTATAAAGATGGAAAAAAGTCTGCAATGCAATAAGAACTCCACCAGGCTTCAACTTCCCTTCGAGGAAGTGTTTCTTGAAAAGAAAAGAAAACTGTTAAGAAAGTAGGAAAGACAGCTTTCAAGGGGCTTAATTTTCAGCAAATGACAAAATGGCTGACAAACAAGAAGAGATATGTTCCAGACAATGGGTGACTGTTAGCTGATGAAACCCGACAGATTAGATTGGGCCTGTCAATCAGTCAACTTTGGCCAGCCCTTTACAAAGCTGTTGAAGTCACACACTCAATTAATTAAAAAAAAAAAACTAACAAAAAAGTGTAATAGAATGATCAGGCTTTCACATATTAGATTAAAATATGACTAAAAACAAGTCACCTGTAGATCTGAAAAGGAACCTCTGCTTTTTAAAAGAGGTGTCAGTTGCTCTGCGATTGGTCCCTTATACTCTGAAGATCAAATTGAGCTTTTAAGGCTGACCATTTCTGGTGGGAGCATGTCAGACGCCTGTTGTCTCATGGGTTTTATTCTAGGTGGAGATGGTGGTGAGGCTGTGGAAGGATGGCTTCACCGTAAACGACGGGGACTTTCGGAGCTACTCCGAGCCAGAGAATCAACACTTTTTGGATTCCATCAAAAGAGGGTGGGTTTGGTTAGCCTCAGGGCTGGGTTTTAGATTGATGGGGGGGTGCTTCAGTCGGCCCCTTGATGTGACCCTCTGGTTTGTGCTAACAGTTAGACACCTTCTAGAGGAAATGGATGAACCCTGAAATAGATGCAACATAGTTTTCCCTTATCCAATTCCTATTCCATCCCAGGGAGCTCCCGGCCGAGTGGGAGAGCCGAGCTGAGGAGGAAGAGCTGGAGATCAGTGTGGAGGATCTGACCGAGGAGAATTACGTTCCCAAGAAGAAGATTTTTCACCCTTTTAGTGGCAGAGGTTACCGACTTGGCAGGTCAGAGGTTTTTGCTTTTGCTGGGTTTTTTGACCAGTACAGAGTTATTAATTCACATAAGGTTTGAAGACCACTGATTGGCTGTTACCGTATTTCACCACTAGATGTCCTCCTAAATCCATCAGTCAAACCACCCGACCACGTTTGACCAGTCAGACACAGCAAGAGAATCCCTATCACACTGTGAATATCAGCACAGCCAGAAATTCCCAAAGCAGGATTATTTTGGCTCTGAAATTTTGGATAAAGGAATAAAAAAATTCAACTTGCACACTCTGTTCACAGTCTGAACTGATGCCTAATCTGCCCTCTCTGCCCGTGTCCATTCCTAGCGTTGCACCCAGAGTTGTGGCGAGGTCACCATCTGTGCACGAGGATGGAGAATCTCCTCCTATTCCCATGGTAACACTCGACCACGCCCTTCCCGTCACCTCCCTTCAGATCTGGTTGGCTGACGGCCGGAGACTGGTGCAGAGGTTTAACCTATCGCATCGGTGTGTATGGCAGAGCCGGGACTATAACGCGCCACTTCACACACACACACACACACACACACACAAACCCCTCCAGATGTGGAGCATCTTGACACTCTTCACTCCTGATGTGCAGCATATAAATCCCATAATCTGGAGTATCGTGGGAAATAAGTAGTTCTAGGGATGACTACAGATTTTTGCTGGGGCTTAGTTTAGGATTACGTAATGTTTTGTTCTGGTACGCTGAAGTTTGAAGGCTAAGGCCATGGCAATGTGGAAAAAAAGCATAATCTGAGATGTAGCAGTGGAGTGGATATAAAAAATCCCCAATGAGGGATTGCGTAACTCTGATGCAGCATTTATATAACAGGCTAAAGGATAAAGAGGCATGAGCCCCCCCAACCTTAAGGGCTGCCATAGGATGGCATGTATATCCTGGCTGGCTTGAATAATTGATGATGTTCTAGTAAACCGCCTCAGAGAGAAATCACGCGTCACAATAGGGAGCGGAGCGTTTGGCCGGGAAAGCTGCGGCGCCCCGCCGAAACCTGTACACATCAAGCAGGGATCGCTCTCTCCTCACGGTTGTTTTATTTCTGCCTCAGAATCACAGATGTCCAAGATTTTGTGGCCCGCTGCCAGAGGAGCTGCCCGCCTTTCGTTCTGACGACGTCCCTGCCTTTCCGAGAGCTCAACGAGAAAGAACTGAGCCTAGAAGAGGCCGATTTGGCCAACGCTGTCATCGTCCAGAGACCGCTGAACACACAGGCTCCTTTTGGCCACTCCTGACCGACAGGGCCGCGTGATTTAGCCGGCATGCGAGCCTCCAGCCCGGGCCGCTGTTTGGCTAATGGAAATACTCTCACCAGCTAAGTCCCGAAGGTGCTGCTGACAGTGTGTGCTACATGGTCTTACTCTTAACTGGAGGACTGATTTTATCTATATATGCCTGTAACCCCGCCCCCCTAAACTGGAGAAGAGGCAAAAGAGTGATGTCGCCCATAGGGCGATCAGTTGTGTGTCCCCTACATTTTAATCTGCCACACGTACCCTCCCATTCCTCATCACCATCTCATTACACTCAACGCTCCACAACCATCCACAGCAAAGTCTCTGAAGTCTTCCCAAAGTCTGATCACCACTTTTAAGCACAATTTTCGGTTTTAACTAAGGAAAGGGACTGACAGGTTGAGTTTACAATGCTCTTATGTGAGTTTTAACATTTGATTTGACTTATTTATGTTGGTCTGGATCTTTTGGAGGGTTTTATATGTTTTTTTTGTTTTTGTTTTCTGTAAACATTTTCCTTTCTTTAGTTTGCTTTTTTGTAATGGTGGGGGTCAAGATATCAAATGTTCTGTTCTGTCTGACTGAATTGTTAAAAAACATATAGCTAATCATGACATAATACAATAAAAATCTTACCAAGAGTTACTCATGTCTCTTCTTCTTTTTTTGGTTTCAAGGCACAATTTTTGTCATATTAAGTACTAAGAAAAACTATCTTTAGCATTTTGACTTAAAAAAAATCCCACACCTTTTTCCACTTACACTGGATTTCGGACCTAGCGCTCCACTGCCGTGCACAGTCCAGACACAATCTCTTCCTTTTTCCCTTTGGAATGGCTTTCTTCCTGTGTGAGGCTTTGCCAGGCCTTCAGTGCAGCTGCCTTTGATTTAAGTGTTGTTTTTTTTTTTAGAATTCCTTACATTAGGGCCTCGGTCATCTGAAAAGCAGCTTGACTGGGCGGAATCCAAGTATTAAAAACTCTTCCACTTCCTTCTCAACGCCTATAAGGCAGGAGAGTCACTTCAGCAACAATGGAACGCCAGCCAGGGCGTTAATAAAGACTTTGTACAAAAACCTTTGCTCTAATTTTTTATTATCATTATATTTTATATTAATGTTAATTTATATAGCAACAAATTATTTACTCTGTGGATTTAATGAGCCTCCATAAAACTCAGTTTAATTCAATTTACCCTCTGGCTGCTCTCACAGTGTGCTTCCTGGTATTGTTCATATGTGAAATTAAATGTATACAATCAAGTAGGCTGCATTTGGCAGAATCTGAGCAGGCAGTGTATTTCTGTACAGACCAGATGTCAACAGCTGCAGCTTTCCTCTATCACACTGTAAACACTAAAGGAAAAGTGCCACTGGAAGCCATGTATGGTCAAGCCCCTCTTCCATGTGTTCCACAGATGATCCTGCAGCTTCAGATCACAGAGCCCGCCGGGTTCTTCATTCCATCCTACGGTACATTAATGCATTTTGAAAGCCAGCGTTTTGCAGCCGTCGACTTCTGAATCTGCGCCTGGCTGTGGAACCTAGTTTGGGATGGACTGTCTGCAAAGTCTTCTGCATATTTGAGCGGATCGGAGCCGTGCTCGGGCTGTACATTGAAGCCCGCACTCAAACGTTACATCATTCCAGGCAGCCCACTGACTCTGCTGAGAGGAGGGGGGGATGTCGACAATGTTTGTCTCCATTTGACGCTCCAATCTTTGGCATTTCGGGGATGTTTGCCTTTTTTGTTACCTCACTGATGGACCGTGCACAGGGGCACGCTCTTGTGGTCTCAAGGCTTTTTCACCTGGTCTCAGAAGGCAGGCGAACACCATTATCCATCGTCAATATTTAAAGCACGGCGGCTGGAGGGAGGGGTGGGGGGGGCGGGGTGGTCGTGGCTGAGGAAGATGAGATGACATCCTCAGGGTATCGAAGGTCGAAGGAGGAAGGGGCTCGGCAGTGGGGGTGTGTTAACCCCCCCCCCATGCACAGGCTTTACACAGGTCAGGCTTTGTGCATCACTCAGTCCTCAGCGAGCTGGGTGGAGGAGGGCTCGGACTCAAGAGTTAAAGTGATCACATTTCCTTTCGCCCTGCATATTTAATAAGCCTGAGCACGCTGGGAACGACTTTCTCCTCTAACTTCCACATTTCATCCCCGCGTAGCAGCCAACTTTTCATTCTGCACGGCCCCTCTTCCCCCATTCTCAGAGACACACCCGGCCTGATGCAGGCCACGGGCCTGACCCTTTCTGCTGGGGGCCTTTGTCCCTGTCAGTAGTGTGGTTTCGGTCCAGGGGTCTGCCTGCCTGAAACGTCCGCGGACGTCTGAGCTCAGCAGCCTAGTCCTGCATAACATGTTTGCTGTCATGGTTCAAGGAGAGACTTACTGGGGAGAATAAATATCTCCTAGTAAAAGAGCCGCCTCTGAAAATGCTCTGAGGGAGAATTAAGGGGTGGATACATCATGGGTTTCATGAAACGTGGCCTATAAATATGGCATTGTTAGTGCGTGAAGGGACAGAATATTAGCTTTTTTTCCCGGCTCAAACTAAATATTTTTTTCTTTAAAATAAAAAAGGATGAAAAATGATTAATTACTTCCAGGTGGATTATAAGAATGGAATAAGAAATCTACAATAAACAACCAAGAATGTAGTTGACTTTGGGCCAGGCCATCATGAAGCATGCTTCACGTCCACATTCAGAAGTTCAAATGTTTTATTAGCTCTTAAATCTTCGCTGCCTGCAAAACTGGCAAAAGTTTTCATTTTGATCTCTGGAACAGAACTGATTGCAGACAGTCTGTTTAAAACATTACAGTGAAGCAGCTTCCTCTGTTCTGATCTCAGGATTAATAAGATAAATTGCACGACAAAAGACACTAACAATAAAAATGATTTAGAAATAGCCGATCATTCAATGCAGTTGTCACTTCAATAATTAGATTTGGCTGCAATTTGACAAAGAGCATTGCAAGAAATCCAGCTCTAATGACAACAGACAGAGCCGTCTTCCTCACACAAAATAACAACCAATTCAAATTTCACCACATCACAATTTCTGAAACCTAATTGTCCTTGATAGATTTCAAAGTCAAATCATTTTTACTCAAATAACTTTAGCTTCATAAATTTGTAGGCGTCTTATAAAGTGCAAACAAGCAGTGAGTCGTTTAAAGTTTATTAATAAACCTGCGAGTGTTTCAGAAAAGAGTGAGTCTTTTGAGGCTTCCAGAAGTTTCCACACTTGAGTTTTTATCGTAATATAAAAAGAGTTATCGTGTCTACTAAAAAATATATTGGACGATAGCTGTTTTGGATTTATTCAAAGCTTCCATTTTACGCCGTGTCCTGAATTTAGGATTTTCTAGGAATCTCAGATGGGGCCTCTCTGTGTGGAGTTTTCATGTTGACTTCTTCTCGCAGGCCAAAGAACTTCTACTGTTCTTACAAAAAATTGGACCAAAAAGAAACAAATGAAAAGGTGCCATCTTTTGGGTTCAGAATGATGACTTTAAGGATATGAGCTGTTTTATCTTCAGCTCTTGTAAATCCCCCAACGTGTTCAAAAGAGTCACAAAAGTGTGAAAAAAGTACAGAAACCATTTTGTTGAATTTTTCTTCCTTTCTTTTGTGGGGTTCCCCTAATAAATTTAAATCCTCTCCTGACCGTTGCAACTCAACTCAAAATCTCCCCCCCAACCTGAATCTTAATCTTAGTCTGACCTCATTTAACATATTTCTGTGGACTTGGACCCCTAAACAGCGTTTAAATGAATATGGTCGTACCCCAGAACTATAATGGCCCCTCGGTTTTAGGTCCCAAAAGGATCCAACTGGAGTCTTGCACAAAGATTTCATTATTGAAGGAACACGAATAATTGCTTTAAAAAAGACGAATGATGTCACCACTTAAACCTAGCTCTGAAATCATGCAGATGGTTGGTATAATTGTGAAGGTGAAACGTGGGAATGTTTTCCTTTTTTTTTTTTTTGTTCTTGTTTTTTGGGTTCCTGTTTGGGGGGGGGGGGGCAGATCTGTTCGGGAGTGAAATGATGATTTACTGAGCTTCTTTCCTCTGACATCAATCAACTCCATCTGGACCGAAAGGACAAACCGCCGCTCCTTTTGCCACTTTCCAGACTCAGATGATGACCACATGAGACGGCACACACTGGAGCTGGAGCTGGAGTCAGATCATCCCCCTAATCCCCACCTCTCTCCTGGTCGCGCGCGTGGCGTGTGTGCGCGCGCGCGCGCAGCTCGTGTGCTACAGCCCCGCGGCCGCTGCAGGGCGCAGCTCCGTCACTGTGCTGGAGGCAGGAGCTGACCGGGCTGACCATCTCCATCCTCCGCAGCCCCCCTGTCATCCTGCCCCGTCGGACCGGGCGGCGGACGCGCGGATCGGCGCACGGACCGAAGCAGACAGCTGATCTTCTCCAAAAGCCAGGAGGTAGGACGGTGCTCTCGTTTCCCGCAGGCTCCGCTGGTGACACCAGCTAGCAGACGGAGGCACTTGTGATTCTTGGAGGATGAGGGAAGACAGCTCACTCCTGCACGGGACGGTGCGGGATGAGCGCCCATGTCCGCCCTCCCTCACAGCAGCCCAGAAAGAACCGGAGTCTGTTTCGTCCGTTTAAATGGTGGCTAGTAGTGAGCATTTGTTGTTGCACACTCCATTGTCTCTCATGCATTCTCAGATCAGATGAACTGTATGTGCCATTATCAACAATCCCAGCAGCTGTGTGTGTGCTCAGACATGTGTGTGCTCACAGGGCTGCATTCCTGTGTTTGTCTCTCTGCATACTTTTTTCATCTCATCATCCCCACCATCATTATTGTCACTACTTTTTTGTTTTTTTGTTTTGTTAGGAGTGTGTGCCACTGTTTGACGTTGCCTCTCCCTCCTGGCTGGGTTCCAGAGCACCACAGCATGTGAATGGCGGCAGGAAGAGGCAGAGTCTTGGCGGAGGAGCAGGAGGAGCTGCCTGCCTACATGGCCGTGGCGCACGCCAGGGGCCAGAGCCACATCCACTTCCAGCCCCTGACGCGCACCGTCCAGTGGCAGGCCACTCTGTCTCACGGCCGGAGCCACAGCCAGAGCCACAGCCACTTCATCCCGCCCTCGCACGCACAGCCCCGGAGGTTCGGCTGCCGCTTCACGCACGGCCTCTCAGCCATGACCAAAAGCGAGAAGGGGGCGCAGGGCCCTGCAGAGAGGTTCACAAAGCCCAGCGAGCCCTTGTTTCCCAAAGCCTCCCAGCAGGTAAGACAATCCGATTGAGATGCTTTTGTTGTCTTTCCGCTCTACAGGTTGTTGTCTGCACTCTGACAGCGGCTGGAACCAGTTTTTGTTACGAGCACTTTAAACTAACTAGTATTCTTTTGGTCATCTGGTGTGTTAGTTTTTTTGTGTGTTTTTTTTTTACTGTGGTTGACTTGATTGGATAAAGAGGGACATGTCTTTGTTTTAGCTTATCTCTTTGTGGTTAATCAGCGTCATTGTTTTCTTGAGCACAGTAATCCATCAGATGGTGGATTCAATGCCTGGAAGCTGATTGTTTTCATTTGAGAGAGATTGCTCCACTTTACTGGAGGGTCTGCTCAGGGATTGCTTTTTTTTCCCAAATGATGCTGGCTTACTCGTGTCAGAAGAAGGGGTAGACTTTCGTTTTACTTCTTTTGTTTAGTCTTATCTAAAAGCTGATAGTTGTGGTGGCTATTTGGCTGCGATGAGTGTGTGAGGGAGCTATGAGACGCCGCGTGCTCGGGTCGCTGCTGCTCACGTGGCCACAGCCCCCAGGCTGTTGAATCAAGGAAATGAAAGGTAACTGAGACAACATAGTCTCCACATGAATTACCCCCTTTTTATTAAGGGGGATATCATATTTTGCAGACAGCGTTTCGAACGCTGTCACAACATAATAACATAATAGTTATCAGTTTCCTGCCCCAGCAGAGCAGGTCCCAGTTTCTGTGAAACGGCATGACATCACACAGCCATAACCAGTTCCACAACTGTTTCATCTGGGACCAACCTCTGCGAAGTATGCAGCACGTTTTAGTCTGCCTCGCATTTACAAAGAACCCTGATTTCACAAGCAACTAATCGATTAGTTATTTTATCTTTAAATTGCAAAACCGTACAGATCTGAGAACTCCAGCCAGTGGTGTTGAATTAAGTAAACTGAGATTACCACAAGGTAATTGTGAATGTTTTATGCAACTGTCACAAGATCTAATCATAAAAAAAGCATAAAGGATATTCCTCAGTTTATCTTTCAGTTAGACTTGCTTTGCTTTTCTATTAAATTTGCTGATGTACAATTGCTTTTACACAGTATTTTCATTGCAGGACAAAATATGAGTGAATGCGTGAATCCACTCATCTTATCTAAGCACACCAGGTGGATATAGTTTTATACACTAAGATTTAAAGGCATTGATTTGGTATGAAAATTGTCTCGTGCGAAGGTTAAGGCTGTTCAATTGAGTCGTTATCTGATATTAGCCAAGAATTCCATTTATTTCCTACCACTTTTTAGTGTAGGAGCCTGTTTTATACTGCTTCTGGAAGCAGTAGCCAGTATTTCCAGGCCCCAAGTTAGTTATTTGAGATCGAAACAAGAGATCCACAGGTACAGACTTTCAGTGCGTGGATGTTCATTTTTTAGTTTTATGTGATAAATACAGAAAGGTTACTCAAAATCGAAGTTGTTTTGGGAGCAAATATTGTTTACTTTACGTCAGTGCTCACATTCCAAGGCCCAGGAAACCCAAATTGCGTGTTCCTCTCTGCTGTGTTTCAGCTCCCCGGCCACAGCCCACCTCCACTCAGAATGACCGACATTAACAAGACACCACAGTGACTGTGGAAGATGAAACTAGCGAAACTAGTGACAAAGTCCTCCAGGGTTTGTGAGATTGTAGCCACAACAGACTCAAATGAGTAACACGAGAAGCAATTAGAGAATCCAGAGAAACTAGATCTTTCCCAGATTGCCTCACTTATTACAGTCTGGGTCACAATTTTAGGAAATAAAACAAAAAATGATTCTAATTCAATGTCCAATATTCCATAGTCAGTATCATAACTGCAAATTCTTCCTGATTCATCCCAGTACTTCATTTCATAGAGCTTTGTCACTAGTACCAAATGCTGAAAGGCTTTCCCAACAGCAGGAATAAATGACTTTCACCAGCATAATGAGGCTGCTGTTGACATTTTACAGCAGTGATTATAATCCCTAATCTGAGCAGAGGGCTCAGAGCTAATGGTGTTGACTCTCATAAGTGGTATATTCATGGCAGTATGACCTTATTTCTCCGAACTGTTGGAAAATGCTTTAGTGCGTCGACATAGCTTAATTGGCTAAATATCTTTTTCTCCTACTTTCTTTAATTGTCCTCCACGATTGAAAGTGTTCCTCCCCCGCGCCTGATTAGCCTTATCTGTCCTTGTCTCTTGCTTTGCGTACTGTCTGGACTCTGCAGAGGCTTCGTCTGTTTGCTGCATATTTGTGTGTGAGCGAGCGCGTGTGGTTGGTTTGTGCATCCAGACAGCAGCAGAGGGGATATCCTGTTTATCCACTTTGATGATGAGGACGCAGTAATGAAAGATTGAGGGTGAGATTTTGCTGGGAAAGAAAAAGTGTTTAGAAAGAGAAGGAGGGAGAGTATTTTTGCACATCATCCGTTAAGCAGCACTCTCCAGACACCAAAGACTTTGATTTTTCTCTCCAATTAGGGATAATTGCAGTGAGAGTGGAAGAAGAGAGAGTTTTGAAGTCGGAACCGCGACGCAGCCTTTACTTACCTCTGACCCGCTTGTCTTGAGATTGAATAATTATATGCCTCCCCCCCCTGGTAATTGTCGTTCTGGAACCCCTCCGTGTTTTGATGGGGCGAAAAAAGAAGTAAGAGAAAACCTGAGCCGGATAATAACAGTGCTTCGGTTGTGGCTGTGGTAGCTTTGGTGATTTCCTTCTTTCATATAGCGCTGAGGGAAGTAGCAGGCCGCTGGATGTTGAGAGATCCCGTTGTGCGAGCGGGCATGTGTGCGTGTGTGTGTGTCTGCATGCGACACCAAAGGTTACAAAGACAGAGCTAAAGGCAAAGGCTGATATGCGCGCTCAAGCCTCGGAGACTGTTGTAAATATTGGGCTCCCCAGACTGTGGTGTCTCATCTTATTCATGTCTGGAGATGAAAGCTTTCCTATGGTGCGCAAGCGTGCACACACACACACACACACAATACATGCAAACACACATGCAGTCACGTGCCTAATGGGTTTAGCAGAGCATGAGGAAGGAAACGGAGCCGCAGATGATTCGGTGGGTTTCTTTGGCTCCTCCATAAGCCTCAGTGTCTGCACCCATAGACCACAATGTTAACAACGTGCAGGGGGTCCTCTTTTGATCCCTTTCTTTCGTCTAACGCGCTCACAAAGACACATTTAAACATTTAAACTCTCCTATCATACCATATCTGGTATGGTATCCTCTCATTTGGGGTGACCGAGGTGCACAAAGATATGTGATTTAAGGTTATGTTTGGAGGATCATCCATGTTCCTTGTTTTCTAGGGAGGGAATACTTGTGTGATGTGCATACACATCACAGCAAAAGTTCTAACCACTGCCTGATTGTGACATGGTGGAATGTTATTTTCAGAGTACTCTGGCAAAGAATTCCAATAAACATGACCAGTGTTGGTAATCTGGCATCACTGCTCTGTGATGACACGTTCAGTGGGTGTCAGGTTTTTGGGAAATAGAGCAGCATACACGGTTGTTACCGTGAAACTCGGATTTGGGAGCGATGGATGGGAGATTTGTCATGTGTAATGATGGCGTTGCTCTGGTGTGTTGTGGTGGAGCAGGAGCTGACTCAGGGGGCAAAACTCTCACTTTAGTCTGATCTGACCCTCACCTGTGATTCACAGGCTTGGATTGTGACAGAAAGAACGAAATTGTGGGTACAATGGTTTTCCTACTGGAGGGTTCAGCCTTAGAGAAAGGATATGGATGGATGGATGGATGGATGGATGGATGGATGGATGGATGGATGGATGGATGGATGGATGGATGGATGGATGGATGGATGGATGGATGGATGGATGGATCATCACAAAAATGACTATGTCACTGTGTGCCTCTACTTGAAACCAGGGAACAGGGGTTAAAGGAGTGCATTTTAAATAGGTGGAAACTAACCTTTAAAGCATTTATATTTTGTGTACGCTCTGTGTATATGTACGTTCTAGGGTTCTCATCTGTTTCATTATAGTCTTTATAAGATCACATGGCTAGTTAATGGTCTAATTGTGTTACCTAACATTTGGCATTCTCGTCTGTTTTCACAGACGGACTTGAGCCAGAAGTTGTCATTATGCAGTAAACTCTGTTTCGCCATCGGAGGGGCACCCAAGGAGGTGGCCGCCAGCGCTACCGCCTTCTTCCTCCAAATCTACCTGCTCGATGTGGCTCAGGTAAACCCTTTGATCAATTCAAGAGTGAAATCCAAAGCGTGCGTTTGGCTCCCATATATGAATGAATGGAGACAGAAAAGTCCAAAATGTCCCTGTTCTCCTCTGCAGATCAATGCCTTCCAGGCCTCCATGGTGCTGTTCATAGGTAAAGTCTGGGGGGCCGTGAACGATCCCATTGTTGGCTTCTTCATCACAAAGAGCAGGTGGACCAAGATTGGCAGGCTCATGCCGTGGTGAGCTCCCTGTCTGTCTGTGTTTTCTTTACACAAGGAGCTCACATACCTTACGTGACTGATGGTAAAAACTCATACTGTTGTGGAATTTTAAAGGAAGACTTAACTGAAAGGCAGCAACCTCATTCTTGTGAAATATGACAACTGTGACAGGAGCAGAGGCTTATTGGGTGAATTTCTACAAGCTGATTTCCCTATTTGCACAAAAGACTAAACAAGCTGATTACATCCACAGTAGCTACAGTTTTAACATCGTCTCAGGAATTGATTGTTATCTAAGTTTTATGCAAATTTAAATGCAAGATACACCAAACGGCATAAATATATATTTATGTTACAGCCAAGCTCAGACTCAAGCTTGCGGCTAAGTTGGTCAGTTTCCATAGGGCCACGGTTAGAAAAAAAAAAGGACTGGGAGTTGTTGATGGATTGTGAAACATGTTTTTGTTTTGCTCCCACGCTCTTGCACGCAATTATGGCGGCCGCATGATGCCAGTGTTTGTGAAAAGTCTCAACAAAAACAAGAAGTGTGCTCCACTTTTGAGGCTCCAGAAATGACCCCCAGGCTCAGTACTCACACCTGAGGATTTCACCAAACGGCATTAGTTGTTCCTCGATGCTCCCTCTGATTAACTTTACAGATAGTATGCTGGAGGGGGCTCTGACGGTTTTTGCCAGTTTGATCTCAGACAAAAGGGCAGTTCATCTCAAACACTTTCTGATCTGTTTTTGTGCTGTCGGACTTCTTTTCTTCATGATTTCGTGATGCAACCCCTCCCGTTTGCATTTTGTCTCTCTTTTGTTCCGTTTCTGAGATGCTGCTCTGTATGCCAGAGCTGGGGGCGCAATTTTATCTGTGCCTCTCTCTGGATCAGACAAAGCATTCACCACAGTTCCTATTAATCCCTGTTAAAAAAAAAATCAGTTTAAGCTGCTAAACATGTGCGTGCCGTGGATGTCTTTTGAGCACACTACTGTGAGACTGTCTGTAATAACGCAGGCAGCGTTTACTGCCTTCTGTACTATAAATCATAGATTACACACAAGCCAACTGTGCCAGAGGGAGACCAAATCCACTGTTGTAATCCAGCCAGCTAGCCGCACTTGGTAGCAGACAGAGGCTGACGTTAAATCAGCTTTGATTATGCACAGTTGCACATTCTGGCTTCTGTCTGTCTTTGTGAACGAGTGTGTGTTTCAGCTGAACGCTTCTTGTGACGGATTGCAAGACACACCCTCGTTTTATTTTTTTTTATCCCACTTGGAAATTCCCCCCCCTGCCCATTCAGCAGGAAGCTGACATATCCACAGCCAGACATCAAGTGATGTGCATCTCTTCCATAAATTCTTAAGGATGGAGCCTTTGGACTCAAAATGTCCCCATGGGTGCTGCCCGTGTTTATTGTTTGTCATTACCTCAAAATGCCACGAATGCATGTAAAAACTGGTGAGACCGGTTTTTCCTGATGGTCTGTGTACATCCTAGGGGAATCTGTTTGTGGCTGCACACATATACACATCGTGAGAAAAGTGTGAAAAGTGTCTTTGGCATACCTGCTAAGGCACTATCTATCAATTCCATTCATGCCAGCCTGTTGGCTGGATTGTCAGCACAGGCATCTACTGCAGAGGGTGTCAGCGTGCGAAGGCCTTCCCGATAGAGCTGACAAGACAGTTCACATTCCGAGCTGACAACACTGACACCAATCCGTCACATTGCCTCTGAAAGCTCCTCATAAAAACTCCTGGCATCGCCCTTTAATGTTCTGCTCCACGGTTAGATGTGGCAGGTCACATTTTTCAGTGATTGCAGTCATCAGAACTTTTTTTTGGAAGTGAGCCAAACTTCACCATCTTATGTTCAGAGATTAAATGCTTGGAAAATACGCAGTATGCTAGAACATGAAGAATCAAAGGAACCATTTTTATTCTTATTTTGTGTGAAAATAAAATGTTTTTTTTTGTCTTTACACTCACTTTTTTCCCCAAAAGGCGCCTAAATGCAGTACCTGAAATAGAAAGTAGTCAAAAAGTGATTAAGGAGGAAAACTGAACTAAACAGGATCAATACAGAAACAGAGGATCACATGTAAATAAGCGTATGTGTTTCATCAAAGATTTCTACACGTGTAACTTTTCAACCACACTGTTTTGGCCCTACAAGAATGACCTCACTGCAAATATTTGTGGGTAGATGCTAACTGAACTTGCACTTTCTGAAAAGATATTACAGTTTAAGTGTAATACTTTTGTCAAATATATTGTGCAGTGGACACATAAAGCATGAAGATAAAGTACTATGAAGAAATTCAGCATTGTGTAAATGAGTCGGTTTGACATGCATGACTTTCAAGACCTCCTCTAAATCCCTTTTGCACTATTACACAACATTTAATTAATAAGCTGCAAGTTTCCAGAACAAGTCAGCGAGAAGTGATTTTTAAGTGCCAACCTCTTATCAGTCCGCTTTGCTTTAATTAGGAGAGTGCAAATCGCTGGTGTAGGTGTGACTGTGCATCCGTGCGTGCGACCGGTGAGAAACTCTGTGGTGAGAAAGTACGGAAATGCTCCTTTCGTTGCCTCTCCCTCCACACACTCATCTTGCAGGAACATTCTCACTGTTCCATTCATTGGCGCCGGGGCCCTTTCAGCGCTCCCATGACGGACGCGGTCAATACTGCAGCAGCAGCAGCAGCGGCGGCCGCCTTTGTGTGAGCAGACAATCAGCAGGACGGGGGGGCGGCCGCGCTGGACGTTGCCAGAAATGGCTGCGACCGGCCGCCCCTGTCCAGCACAGCCTCTGTCCAGCACAGCCTCTGTCCAGCACAGCCTCTGTCCAGCACAGCCTCTGTCCAACACAGCCTCTGTCCAACACAGCCTCTGTCCTGGTCAAGAGCAGGTCAGAGGTCTGACCCCTGACGGGAACAGTCACTGCCACCAACATTTTGTTTTCCTCTACCTGGACGCCTGCCCCTGCGGTTCCAGTAAACTGACCGCATGACACAGGGATTCCATTTTCACCTTAAAGGAACGGGAAGCCGAGGGCGGGGGATGTGTTGTTGTTTGCAGGCCGGTCATACCAGCGGCCGGCCGTCCGTCCGTCCGTCCATCCGTCTCCTGGCCTTTTTCCCTCCTCGCTCTGCAGCGCACAGCTGCTCACTGTAACCATAATGATACATAGCAGTTGTATACTTATGAATTATACATGGACCACATACTGTATCACTCCAACTTCTGAGAAAAGCACATCACAGCAGAATCGCTTCACGCTGCCTTCACTCGGGCGCCTTCTGCATATTCATGTGATTGTGTGTGTAAGTCTGCGTGTGTGTGTATGTGTGTGTGTGTGGAGAAATTTCAACACCGCTTGCGGTTTTGAAATATTTCGGAATGTCCCTGCTTGCCTGTCTCTTCCAGGACAGATTTTTGTCATACTTAGAGCAGCATACTATAATCAAGTAGAACTTTTGTTTTTTTTAAAAAAGCGCTTTGAAAATGAGACAACAATCCCGGCCTGATCTGTCCTGCTTTTGTCTCCTTTAGGATGGTGGGTTGCACCCCATTCCTGGTGGTCTCGTACTTCTACCTCTGGTTCGTTCCGCCTTTCGCCAGCTGCCGGTTCGTCTGGTACCTGGGCTTCTACTGCCTCTACCAGACCCTCATCACTGTGAGTACACGCGCCCGTCCAGCACGGCCTGCTCTCCAAGAATTTCAGGATTGTGGCGTGATGCTTCACGCCGCTCAGCGGGAGGGGGGGGGGGGGGGGGGGG